CCGAACCAGCATCCCCTCAACTCCAGTTTTCACTCCTCACTCGTCACTGTTTTCCAACGGTACATGCACTTTATTTGGTGGACAGAACGACCACGCTCGGGAAAATAGTGCCGATTGGGCCAAGTGAGGGCGGTCTGACAGGGACGCAGATGAGCTGCACAGGGACCATGGCGCTAGAGGATAAGTTGGACAGTGAAGACTGTGGGGAAGACACTCTCGACACTCTTTACGGCGGCTGCCACGAGTCATTCAGCTAGCAAACGACAACCACTCCATTTGGGCAAGGAGACTGCTCCGTTGGTGGTTCGACGGCTGACTGTGGGGAAGCCTAGATGAGGGGAAACCGCTAAAAAGCGAGAATAGGACGCCACGACTGACGCCTAGTTGGACTCGGCAGACGCGGTGCAGAGTTCTAGCAACAACAGGCGCAATGGACGGCGAGTGAGCGTCTGGGCGTGTTGGGCTGGCGCTGTTGGCCTTTTGACACTGGGCCTTTGATCTCTTGATCTCTTGATCACTTCCACAACGCGGATGTGTCCGAGGACACATGGCGCGGCTCCACTTTGCACATTTCGGATTCGGTCCAAAAAAGTGTCTCCACTTCCCAATGTCAGCCTTCGTCTTCACTCGACGAGTCGACGCCTGCTCTTTGTCTGGGGAACTGGATGCGATCGGCTCCACTTGGCCGCTGGTCGACTGGACTGGGTAGACTGGGCCCGCTTCGACTGGACACTGCAGAGTCGTTTGGCTCTGGTCATGCCCGTCTACCCCCGAACCCCTCATCCTGTCTCGACGATTTTCATCGGCACTTGTCTGTCACGAGAGTGTAGTTTGGCATCGGAAGTGGACATGAAGATGGAGAGACAGTCGACCATGGGGAAAGTGAGAATGAACGAAAAAAAGACAAAAATAAGAAAAAGGAACAAAAACAAACAGAACGAACAGCACGGATCCAATCGAGAAACGAAACCTGGTCACGAAAAGGGAGGTGGAGATCGCAGAATACGTTCATGCAGCTGAGAGTGTCGAGTAAAGCTGGATGTCAATCAATCGGACAGAGCATCCAGAAGTCGCCCAGCCGTTGCTACGATGTATTACGTCCTGAAAACCGCACGCCAGCCTGCACAACCCCCAAGACTTCCAAGACTTTCAAGACTGCCCCTTTCCTGTTTGGGGCCGCACGGGCTTCAGCTCCTGAATCAGCTCTAGAAACAGCTGTAGAAACCGCTCCGAAATAGCTTGTATGCAGGCCTGCAAGTCCCAGCCACTGAATGCTGTCCAGTCCACGCAAAGCACGGCGCCTGTTGTGAGCTGTGCTTTGCATGGTCAATCTCTTTTGTCGCCGTCTTCCTCCCGTCCTCCCAATCTCCCGCTTTCTCCGCATTCCTTTTGCCCTAATATAGCTCCCATATCAACAGACGGCTGTAGGCTCTACTGTCTATTGATGTTCGACGTCGCGAACCCTTTCAAATTGGCTTGTGCTGTGCATCCTTCTCCTTTATCCCCGTCGCATTGTAAACATTTTAATTGTATCCCATCTCCAGCACGCCGTAGCAGCACGCCGTAGCATCTGGGCTGTCATACGTTTGTCATGCAGCTGTTGTGCAGCGCCCACTTGCCCGATCTGCGGACGGAAGCACAACAAAACAAGTCAATTGGAAAGGAAACCAAATAAAGAAACTCCACCTTGCATTCGACTCAACCCAAGACCACAAGACACGGCTCGCAGTGTCACCTGCTGTCGTTGCATTGGTGTGTTGTCTCGCGCGACTTTCGACTTTCTGTCTGTGACTCTAGTCTCTCTTGTCTGTCGTCTGTCTTTCTGTCTGTTTTCCTTTCTCTCTCCTCGTACCTCGTCGCACGTCTTCCCCTCTCGCCTGCCGTCCGCCTCCGCATGCCAATATTGACAAAAGCTAGGAAGAATTGAGGCGACAAACCACCGCACCCCAACCCATCCCAACCCTCCATCTCTGGTGCCTTGCATCCGGACGACACACGCCCGTCGGCATCGAGGAGCTGTTCAGAGCCACGCCCTTTGTCTACTACTTTCGTCGGTCTGGCCCATCCTCTCCCTCGTCTAGCGTCCATCCCCAGATTGTCGCAAAGATAGACTCCAGACAGCCCAACTCCATCCCCAGACCAGCTCCACCTTCCCCAGAATCCAATCCCACGCTGCCTTCAATTTGTGGCCCCATTCCTCCTGCGCCAGCCTCCCTTGACCCTCACCTCGAGCAATATTTCGTTTTCTCGTCTCTCGTCCGTGCACAATACTGTTGCATCCTACCCTTACTCATAGCACCCATACGCACCCATACGCACCCATACGCAACCATACTCTGTCGCAGCTGGTTCTGGCTGCAGCTGCGGTCCACGGAAAAGCGAACAAGGGCTCATAAAAGGACCTCGACCCCGTTGATCTTTTCCACTTATTTCCCGGCCGCTCCCACTTCATTTCACCTTCTCCCTTCCCGTTTTTGTTCCATTGTTCTTCTCTGCAGTTCTTTCTATTTTTGCTCCTTCTGCCCGTCGTCTCCCTGTATCTTGACACTGTGTTTACTTTGCCCCAAGGATAAATCATAATCAACTCCTCCTTAACCCATCAATCCACCCTTTGTCGCCATCCGCCGCCAGCACCTCCACCACCTCCACCACCACACCTCTAAACCTCCACCGCCCACCATGGGCTCCCAGAAAGACGTCTCGGTCGCCGAGAACGAGCACCAGGGAGACGTGCCGTCCACTGCCTCCGTCTCCGTCCCCTCCACGGGCGCGCCGTCCCACAATGTCCACAACGAGGCCGCGGCCGGCGTCGGCGCCCTCAACGAGTCCGCCATTGTCCACGCCGTCGAGGACACGACGGGCCTCGCCGACCACTGGAAGTGCCTGGCCGCCTGCACGCTCATGTCCATGTGCCCGTTCCAGTACGGCGTCGACTTTGGCCTCATCAGCGGCCTGCAGGCCATGCCGGGCTTCCTCAAGGTCTTTGGCTACGAGATCCCCAGCCCGGACCCGGCGGCCCCGCCCATGTACGGCCTCCAGACGGAGCGCCAGCAGCTCATCTCGTCGCTCATGATCCTGGGCGCCTTTGTCAGCTCGGGCCTCGCCGGCCCCACGGCGGCGTACCTGAGCCGCCGCATGTGCATCTGGGCGGCCATTGTGCTCTGCATCGTCGCCAACGTCGTCATGATGACGGCCACAAACATCGGCGCCATGTACGCCGGCCGCCTGCTGATCGGCCTCGCCAACGGCATGTTCATGACCTACTCGCAGCTGTACATCCAGGAGTGCGCCCCGGCCAAGTACCGCGGCATGATGATCTCGGCCTTCCAGATCTGGACCTCCGTCGGCACCCTCATCGGCACCGTCATCGACAACTTCACCGCGCCCATCCTGGGCAAGAACTCGTACGTCATCCCGCTCGGCATCATCTTTGTCATCCCCGGCCTGCTCTTCTTTGCCCTCTTTTTCATCCCCGAGTCGCCCCGCTGGCTCATGGACCAGGGCAAGTACGAGCAGGCCCGCGTCGCCCTGCGCTGGCTGCGGCCGTACAGCGACGACGTCGTCGAGGCCGAGGCCACGGAGATCCAGGACGGCCTCGAGGCCGAAAAGGCCCTGCACGCCAGCGTCAGTCTGCTCGACCTCGTGCGCGACCCCGTCGACCGCCGCCGCACCCTCATCGCCGTCGGCGCCTTGAGCACCCAGGGCGCCTCCGGCGCCATGTACATGATTGCCTACGGCACCTACTTCTTCGCCGAGGCCGGCATCGACGCGCCCTTCCAGAACTCGTGCATCCTGACCGGCGTCGGCGTCTTTGTCATCATGGTCAACTCGGCCGTCATCACCCGCATCGGCCGCCGCCGCGTCTTTCTGACCACCGGCCTGACCATCTGCGGCTTCGCGCAGCTCTTCACCGCCATCATCTACACCGTCAAGCCCGGCTCGCAGACCGCCGGCAAGGGCATCGTCGCCTTCAGCGTCATCTACATTGTCGGCTACAACGGCCTCGTCGCGTCCTACGCCTGGCTGTCGGGCGGCGAGCTGCCCTCGCAGCGCCTGCGGTCGCTGACCTTTGGCGTCGCCACGGCCATGGGCTTCTTCCTGGCGTGGCTGGCCACCTTCACGGCCCCTTACTTTATCAACCCGACCTCGCTCAACTGGGGTCCCAAGTACGGCTACATCTGGTTCCCGTCGTGCCTCATTGCTGCGTGAGTCCCCTCCCCTCTCTTTGCTGTGCACAATCGTCTTGCTGTTGACTAATTACGTCTAGTGCTTGGATCTTCTTCTTCCTGCCCGAGGTCAAGGGCCGTACGCTCGAAGAGATTGACGAAATGGTAGGCCTTGTTTGTTTTCTAGTCGTCTGTTCTTTCTGTTCCTTTCGTGCGTTGCCCTCACTAACAACACAGTTCATGGCCAAACTGCCCGCCCGCAAGTTCCGCCACTACCACTGCGTCGGCCACCAGGTCAATGCCACAAAGGCCGCCGGCGAAAAGACCGAGCCTGAGCAATACGCTTAGTCGACACGGAGGTTGACGAAGAGGTCGACGCCTCGACACGGCCGTCTCCTCCCACTTCCACATTTCGTACTATTGTGTCCTTGCTATCGTCTGCTGTTTCTGTTATACTATGTAAAATACCCAGGCCAGCGTATGGGGACCATACGTGGTTCGGATTTTCGCATAAAAGGTGCTCGTTCTCTTTTCGTTTCTTTTTTTTTTGCTTTCTTTCTGTCCTTTCCTGATTGCGTTGCTTCCATGTAAGATACCCAGGCCAGCGTATGGGGACCATACGTGGTCCGGATTTCCTGCAGGCTATGTTTGTTTCTCCTTGCTTTTTTCCTTCTCTTTTTCTCTTTTCACCCTTTAATTAGTACTCTTTCATCCGTGTCCATCATAAAAACACGATGCACAGAAATACAAAATCACAGAGACTCTCGGGTCTACATTTGCACGCCAGACTGCCACACAAAAGTGAATAAAATAAACATGCACAATACCTAAATATTACTCCAACATGACAAATGACAAATGACAAACTGCCAAAACAGAAAAGCGCAGTACTTGTAGTTCCACATTGCACAAACCACACAGAGGACGACTGCACGACCAGACGACGTACTCCAAAGGACAGGCTACTGCCATCTCTCCTGCCGTCACCTCCTCGAGGCGCGTAGTCGTGCTCCGTGATTCCCTGGCGGCCAGCCCATCAGCGTCCAGGAACTGCGAGATGGTGTGCCACAGCGGGTACCTGACCAGGGCCATGGCCAGTGATTGGTTGCGCCTCCCCCAAACAACAGCCAATCCCCATCGCCGGCCGCCACTAGCCGCAATCCCAACTTACACCAAGGACGCCAGCAACAGCCAACGAGTGGCCGTGAACGGCCGCCACAGAGCGCAAGCGCGTCTAACAGGACGGCGCAGCCAACGACATCAACAGACATCAACGACAGCCAAATCAGACCAGCCTCCTTCCCATTCCTCAATGGGCGTGCAATTCCAATATTGTGAGATCCTGCTGTGAAGATGGAGGCTGAGAGGGTGTGGAGAGGCCCGTTGTGTGGCCGTTTCTCTTCGATGGTGCTGGATTTGGAAAACATGCAATCAATCTCCATTCCAGAATAGATATTCCTTTCCACGTTGTGAATCAAAGGTCCAGGCATTTCTTCTGCACACCTCCCACCTCCACACAGAGTTGCAATCTGTGGGTAGCGTGTCGATCCTGGGTGCTCGTCTTTTTGGCCGGCCCTGGTCCCAGTGGTGTCAGTGGCTGCGTGCGTCTTTCTGTGACGATTCTGACCGTCATGGTTGCATACTCGCTTTTTTTGTTATCTTATTTTTCTCTTGTGATACCAGTGCCCGGCACTGCCGGTCTATTGATCCTACCATTCCCTTTCCCTGGTTGTTTGGCCCCCGCACCTCTCCTCTTTCTCCCAATTCTTGTCTCTTATATCCTCCTTCCTCTCACTTTCACTCTTCTTTTCTTTTGATCTTCGCTCTTCCCTCTCCGTCGCCATTCTTTCTTGTCTCTCCCCAACAGACCTCTAATGTCGTCGTCTCCCCTTCGACAGCCACCATGATGCAGCCCGGCCCCGCCCTCGCCTTCGCCACGTGGGTCATGGCCGTCCTGTGCCTCGCCCTCGTCGCCCTCCGCCTCTACACCCGCGTCCACCTCGTCCGCTTTGTCGGCGCCGAAGACTACCTATTTGCCGCCACCGGCGTCTTCTTCTTGGTCTTTAGCTGCGCCATCCAGGCCGCCGTCCGCTTCGGCCTCGGCCAGAGCTTTTGGAGCCTGAGCCTGCAGCAGTCGTCCGACGCCATCCTGTGGACCTACATCGCCAACACCTTTGCCATTACCGGCAACGCCATGGCCAAGCTCACCACCGGCCTCTTTCTGCTCCGCGTGGTGCAGCTGCGGTGGCACAAAGTCGCCCTTTGGTGCCTCGTGGGCGTGACCGCGAGCACGTCCGCGGCCCTCACCATTATGCTCTGGAACCAGTCGACGCCCGTCAAGATGAGCTGGGACCCGTTCCGCACGCCGGGCCACTGGAACCTGCAGATCCAGCCGATGAGCGTCGGCCTCGGCGTGTGGTCGAGCGCCTGCGACTTTTTTTTTGCGGCGTTCCCCTGGCTCTTCATCTGGTCACTGCGTATGCAGCGGCGGGAGAAGATTATGCTCGCCAGCAGCATGAGTTTGGGTATCATGTGAGTTTTCGTACTTTGGCCCTTTTTTTAAAAATAATAATAATAATAATAATACTAAACAATCGCCACCAACGTACAGCGCCGGCATCTGTGGCATCATCCGGACCGTCGTCCTGGCCCGTCTCAACGTGTTGAACTATACCTGTATGTCCCCCCGCCATCGTCATTGTCATCGACATCCATCGTCTCGATCGCTCCTACTCACACAACCAAGTAACATTCGTGACGTACTTTGCGTGGGCCGGCGCCGAGATTGCCGTGTCCATGGTCTGTCTCGCCATCCCCACGCTGCGCCCGCTGTACCTCCGCCACCGCGGACTGGCCGTCACCAGCACGCATCCACGCCACCCGGCCGACGACGTCCTGCCGCAGTTTACCATGTGCGGGCCCACGCCGGGCGCCGGCGCGATGGCGCCGACCCAAGGTCCGCCAAAGTTTGCCGACGTCGACCTCGAGTCGGGTCCTTCGTCCATCGACAGCACGCCGCGAAGCACACCGGGAAGCACGCCCGACAGCGTCCAGGACGAAAAGTTTGACAGTGTGCCAGAGGTCGAGACGCTTCCGTCGCGGCTTCCCAAGGCCTACTTGAGTCGGGGGCAAGACAGCGTCGACGAGATCTTGGGTTTGTACGGCCCGAACTATGCGCATGGCCAGGGCCAAAAGCACGGCCAGATTTGGATCAAGAGTGAGGTCTCGGTGCAAGAAACGGCCGCGACAAATTGGCCATTGAAAAAGTAGGCTTGCAAAGAAGTTGAAGGAACTAGACAGCATCGCAAGATGAGATGTGGGCATGGCATGATTTATGATACCATTAGCGATGATAGTTAATCTGATTTTTTTGAATTATTTTCTTAAGACACGTTTTAATTTTTATTTGGGTTATATTTCTCATTTACTTTCAGTTTGTAATTTTGAAAATGACATAGAGTGAACGACAAAAAAAAAAAAAAAATCCAAAAAAAAAAACGGTAATGGCAATTGTAACCCAAAAAGAGCATCACAGACATATTTCACACTGTTCAAAAAATCCAAAAAACGATCCAGGCAGGGATCGAACCTGCAATCTCTTGGTTCGTAGCCAAGCGCCTTGCCATTTGGCCACTGGACCTGTTCGCTAGAAAAGTTTCCCTGTAGTCTGGTATATAAGATCGGGGTTAACGTGGTGCCACGCCAGCTTCTTGTCAAATGCATGTTTATTTCTATCCGTCTGTATATATGATGTCCAGTGTTTCCAAGTCGTTATTCCATCAATCGTAAGTCATAAGTGTCGGTCGACGTAGTCGACGTTGTGGTTCGCGTCCCCCCAAACCGTCGACGTGCCCAGCTTCGCTGGCTTCGCTGCGCTCGCTTGCCCTCACAGCGTCGTCACTCATACAAGTGCAGCTGCCCCCGACTTCTCGAGAGCGCCGCGCGCTGCGTCCCCGCCACCAGCCGCTGCAGCTCGGCCGCGCTCGCCAGCTCCCAGCGCTGCATCGTCTTGCCGTCGCGCCACACGACGGCGCGCAGGCCGCCCAGGTACTTTTCCATGGCGCGCGAGGGCAGGTCGTCGGACACGCTGACGACGAGGACGGCAATGGCGCGGCGCTGGTAGAGGGCCAGGCGCTTTTCGCGGACCAAGAAGCGCTCCATGAGGCGCGCGCTTTCAAAGGACCAGGCATTGAGGGCAAAGGGGAGGCTGGCGGTGTCGCGGTAGAGCTGGCGGCAGACGGCGGCGAGCGGCGTCAGGGCGTCGGGGAGGGCGGTGACGCGTGCCCGCGACGTTGCCTTTTTGGTGTCTGCCGTCGTGGTGGTGGTGGTGGTGGTGGCCCGCCATGCGTCCTGGTCGACGCCGAGGGCGACGGCGTAGAAACCAGAGTGGCTGTGGGCTTTTGCATTGGCTTTGTTGTCACCGCCTTTTGTCGTCCGCATCCTCCATGGCCGGTAGCGCACATGGATCTGGCCGACGGTGAGGACGAGGGCGTAGATGCGGTTGCGGATCTCGGGCGGCAATCGCAGGAAAGGGGATTCGAGGGCGTTTCGGTGCCAGCTAAACAAGACCGGAGTGTCAACAACATGTCTCATCTTCAGACGGACGGGAACAGAGACGATGCTTTTTGACTTGCATTTCACATTCTAGCGAGTCGGGTGCCGGCTCGCACGGGACAGTGGCATGTTTGCGTCGCCGTTTCTCGTGATGGCTGTGCATGTTGGGATGTGGTTGAAGAGGAGGAAGAGAAACCCCTGAAGACGTGATGCAAGGAATGACGCATGGAAATGAAACAGCAATTACAGAATACTGAGTCGACAAAGCCGTTAGGACCACAGCGGCTGACCTGGCTGGCAACCGTTACGGGAACAGCCGCTGAACACCCCTAATTGCTTTCGCTAGCGTACAGGGCCTGCACCATGCCAGTGTCGTTCCCTGGAGTGTGTGTTGCGTTCGCATGGCCAGCGACGAGGCTGTCACCAAAACAGACGGAGGAAACGACATGTTGACGGTTTGAATGTGACTGCTGGCTTTCCTGCCATAATTCCACCGAGAGCTCCAATCCGGAGACCTTCGAGTCTTGTTATGAGTCAAACCAGTTTATACTTCAGCTTGTTGCAACGTAACCAGATGCAGTATACCCCAAGAATGCCGGCAATTGATCAGATGTTTCTTTCTTGTCCAGTTTCTTTTTGCATTTTTTATTATTTTTTTTATTTTAATTTCCTTGAAGACATGTAGTTTTAAGTTGAAAAGGGTATGTGTAAAATGACAGCGAAACTGGTGCAGATACGCCCAGGCCACCACAATTTGGGTGCCATAAAACGTGTCAAACAGACAGGGTTGTCAGCCTCGCCAGATTCAAGACTACTTTACGTATCCATGCAGTCATTGTCGTGGGTGTCTGTCACTGCGAATCGTGCACATCTGGCATTTCTCCAGAACCAACACTTGACCGTCAATCTGGCTTCATCGCCAAGCTCAGCAGTTTGTCGACAAAAGCGGCTGGCATAGTTTGCAACCACCTAAACACACGCCATCTCGAACAACGTCGTCAGTCAAGCACTTCAACATGTCCGTCGCCCAGGTCGTCCAAGCTCCTGATCGGCCCGCGTTGCAGCACATCACCCGCCTCTTCCTCGCGGGCACAACGCCCGTCAAAAGCCTTGGCCATGGGAACCCAAACCCCGTCGTCGACTGGCGGCGTCTCGTCTGCTCGGCTGTCGGCAACCTGCCCGTGACCGTCTTCGATCCGCTGCGCCCGGACTGGGACGCCTCCTGGACCGAAGACGCCAACTTCTCGCTTTTTCGCCAGCAGGTCGACTGGGAGCTCGAGATGCAGGAGCAGTCGACTCTGATCGCCTTCTTCTTCGATCCAGCCCGCGACGGATCCGTCAGTCTGCTGGAGCTGGGTCTGTGTGCCGGACGAGCCGCAAGCGCCATTGTTGGCTGTCCGCCGGGATACACGAAACGCGGCAATGTGCAGATGGTGTGTGCCCGCTACGGCATTCCGCTGGTCGATTCCGCCGAGGCGTTGGCCGATGCGGTCCGGGCGCACCTCGTTCGGGGGGGATGCCGTTAGGCAGAAGACACAGACACAGGCTCACAGACAGGGTCAGGAACGAGATGATCACCCAAACGACGAGTGACGCAAATGTGGCAGGACTCGTGTCGAGAGCCCCAGCGCGAGGTGCCCAGCAAAGACCCCAAAACAGGCACTGACTGGATCGTCGTGGCGCCTGAAGGCAACCGCGCGCCCACTAGCCTCTAGCAGGCGACAGGCCAGCTCTGGACAGCCTCAGCCTTCTTTTTGCCTGTCAAGGCCCGCTAACAGTGCGCGCGAACCCACTTGCGTCGCTACCGCCACCACCGACCAGCCCCGCCTGCCCCAAGTGGCCCAGGTGGCCCAAGTGGCCCAAAATTCACATCCTGCCCTGCCCTCCCTCGAGACTCGACTTTCAACTTTGACGACATCCCTCGAGCAACACAATCCACATCTGACCACGACGACCACACCTCCGTGTAACAAGGCTGCACACCACATACCCAATCAACATTACCATAATATCACGAGCAAATATTTATAGTAGCAGCACACCGATTAGACGACCACAACCACCGCTGTCCGCAGTCGCATTTCGTTGCGATCCTCCCTTTCGTTGTCCCCCGTCTGCTCTCAACTGCGTCTGCCTCCCTCCCGCCTCCAACCCCAACCCGACAGGATGGACGAACAGTTTGGCGGTCGAACCGACGATGACCTGTTTGCCGACGATTTTGAGCCCGTCCAGCCCGTCCAGCCCGTCCAGCCTCTGTCGCAGGCGGCTCCCCAGCCGGTGCAATCGGCCGCTGCTGCGACAGAACCTGTCGCTCCATCCTCAGCGATACCCTTAACCGCAGCCTCGAGTACTCCCAAAGCCACGGCGAAGAACAGCGGAAATGGCGGTCATGGAGGTGCAGATACACCCAATGGCGCCGGTGGAAACGGCTCGCGACGCAACCGCGATCGCAAATCTACAGGCAACGGTGGCGGCAATACGAACGGCATCCAAAACCAAAGCCAAAACCAGAGCCAAAACCAGAGCCAAAACAAGAGCCAAAATCACAACCATAGCAATGGCCACGGCAAGACGGGCGGTGCACAGAAAGCGCAGGGAGTAACCCCTGCCGCGCCGGCTGCCGGTAGCTCGACGGGCGCCACGCCGGCCACGAATACGCCCGAGCCATCCAAGGCCGCTGCGCCGCCGCCGTCTCTTGCCCAGTCACGGCACAACCGGCCACCAACGCCGCCAGCGCCGCCAGCAACAGAAACACAAGTAGCAACACCGGCAGCAGCATCGGCATCTGCCACGACCAACACCGCTGCGTCAACTGCCGCTCCCGCACAACAACCCAAGCCAAAACGGGGGGACAAGAACAGGAGAGCTGGAGGCAATGGCAATGCGCAAGGGAAGGACAAGGACAAAGACGTACAAGGCAAGGCATCGCCGGCACCGGCGAAGAATGGACAGCAGCAGCCGCCATCTGGCGAGCCGCAGCCAAACCAAAAGCAGCACGACAAGCCACACCCGAGGCAAAAGCAAGGGAAGCCGCCGCAGCCGCAGCAGCAGCAGAAGCAGACACAAACAGCCAATACGAATGCAGGTACCACCAAGAACGACAGCCGCGCAGGAACGCCCGCTGCTGGCACGGGGCCACCGACGACCGGAACCAAGACGACGAACAAATTTACCATCAAAGGCGCAGCCGCCGCCGAAGCTGCAGCCAAAGCGGCCAACGCGGCCAACGCGGCCAGCCACACCGCCAATGGCACCACATGCACCCCGCCCCCGCCTGCCCCCAACACGCGCACGCAGTCCGGCGCCAACCCCCGCCAGAAACTCACCGAGGCCGAGCTCGACTCCAAGCTGAGCGCCATGCGCCTGGCCTCCCAGGAAAAGACGCGCCGCTTCGAACAGGCCCAGCGCGACGAGCGCGACCACGACCTTGCGGTGGCCAAGGGCCGCGAAGAGGCCCGCCGCCGCAAGCAGCTCGAGGACGAGAAGCGCCGGCGCAGCGAAGAAGACCGCAAGCGCCAAGACGACGAGCGCGCGCGCAACCGCGACCGCAAACTAAAGGCCATGGGCGTCAAGGAGGGCAACTGGGACGAGGGCAAAGACGGCAGCACCAGCAACAAAAACAACAACAACAACATCAACAACGATCCGTCCCATGCCGGCGGCAAGGGCGCGCGGTACGCCGGCCTCTTGCCCATTGCCAATGCGTCGGCGGTCACGGCCAAACCAGAGCCGTCGCCGACGAACGGTGGTGGACAAGGCGGTGGTCGTGGCCGGAGTGGACGGGGTCGGGGTGGACGCGGTGAACGGGGCGGCGGGCGTCGTAGAGGTGGCGGTGGCGGTGGTGGTGGCGGCAGCCACAATGGCCGCATCCAATTTAACGATGCCGGTAGCATCGGCGCCGACATTGCCGAGTGGGTCCATGGCACCGCCGAGCCGTCCAGCATGGCCCCGCCGCCCAGCCCCGGGCCCAGCGACAGCGTGTTTCCGTCCTTGCCCGGCGCAAGCGGGGCAGATGGGCAGGTTGCTGCACGCCCTGCCGGGAAGGCGGAGAAGACGTATGCCGAACGGGCGGCCGAGAGCGTTGCCAAGTCCGCCGAGGCCGCGCAGACGGAGACGCCCGACACCACCGACGGGAAAAAGAAGCTCAACTTCCCGCCCCTGCCCAGTCTGCAGCCTCTCTCGCCCGCCATTGGCACCTGGGACGAAGAGGTCGAAGAGGCCATTGGCAACGGCACTGTCTAGTAGTAGTGCGCGGTGATGAAGGAGTGGGCCGGTAGGCTGTTTTTCAGTTGCCTTTAGTGCGCTTGTGTTTGTTTTATTGCCGAATTGGGTTGCCTGTTTGGATTGCTTGGATTTCTTGGATTGCTTCGATTACTTTGCGGATTGCCTGCATGGAGTACCTCTCTTGGATATTGTTATGTAGTATTTTACCTCTCTATCGGCAGTTTGGATACCTCAGTTTGGACAGTATGGGCTCTGTATACCCCTGGCCCCTGAAATACACAAAAAGAGAAAGCACACGCAGCCTTGATAATAGATACTGTAATGTTGGTGAAAAACATTTCGTACTGAAAGACGCCCGCCAAGTGAAATCAACGCGAAACCAACCGTATACCCCGTTTTTGTACAAAATTTGCAAAGAACAATAGAGTGAAACAAATCAACAGAAACGGCGACACACCCTCTCACCATCTCGGCCGGTTCCTCCGCCCACCGCCGCCACCACCCCGACCACTCCTTGCCCATCCCCGGTCGCTGTACCCGCCGCTGGCCGAGTTGGGCGTCGCGCTGCCGTCGCCGTGGTCCGGCCCATCACCGCCGGCGCCGCCGCCCACAGACACGGACAATGGCGGCCGTCGACCGCCCCGCACCTCCTTGGAGAGCGTCTCGTACGTCTTCCGCATCTGCGCGTACCCCAGGTGCATCTTGCCGTAAAAGTGGTCCGCCAGCCGCCGGTCGTTGTCCAGGCGGCTGAGGTACGCGCCGCACACGTCGCACACCTGCAGTTTCTGGTGGCCCGACGGCCCGCTCGTGTCGCTCAGCGCCTTGAGCTCCTTCTCCTTGTCGACGCGCGCCTGCGTCGTCTGCCGCACGCGCACGAGCTCGTCCAGGGCGAGCCCCACGAGCCCGGCCTCGCCGAGCACCTCGACCTCGACGAGGGCCTCGGCAATCGCGCTGTTGAGCTCGCCAATGGCCCGCAGCAGGGCGTTGGTCTGCCGGATCTCGTCGGGCGTCTTGTCCAGCCGCCGCTGCGCAATCTCGATGCGCCGGTTGCACTCTTCAATGTACTTTTGCAGGTCGCGCATGTAGTCGTACTCGAAGCCGTACTTGCTGGCGCGGTCGGCCGGCGACAGGGCCTCGTACTCGGCCTTGAGCGCCTCCGAGTGCACCTTGGGGCACATGCCCAGGTCCTGCTTGGTGTTGGTGAAGAGGTCGTGCGGGCAGGTGCCCGCAATGTACGACCGGCACACCTTGGGGTCGTTGAGGGACAGCTGCGCCCCGCGCGACGCGACGCCGCCGCCCATGAGCTGCTCTGGGAGCCAGTCAGTCTGTGTGTTCTGTCGACGGGACGCAGAAGAACGACAACGAGAACGAGAACGAGAACCTACCGAGCAGCTTTCTTTGCTCTGCCGCCATGGCGCCTGTGGGGATTCGGTGTTGGAGGACAGGATTGTTGGCGTGATGGTTCGTTGTATAAAACTGTAAAATCGCAGGATCGGCAAACCGAGTCGGAATGCAATGTTGACGTTTGCGTTTGCGTGGCTGTGGCGATGGTAATGTCAATCGAACAATGATTTGTGTGTTGGTGCTGCTCTTTTTTTACAGAGGCAAAAGACGGAAGACAAGGCTGCCAGCAGCCTAGACCTCTGCCCAATCAGCGCCTAGCCTCGTCACGCCAGGAGTGCCGTTAAAGTGGGACAGCCCCTAGCTAGCTCAGCGTCAGTGGCCACCTATTTCAAAGTACACCAGGAAGGCGCGACCGCGACAAGCTCCCCCCTCTGTGCCCCCTTTCCAGGCGCCTGGATTTCGATCTCGAAATTGATATTCGACCCTCCAAACTCCAACCTCCTCCACACACAGCTACGATGCGACGGTTACTCTCCTATCTTCTCTGCCTGCTGGCATCATGCAGCCTGCCAGTGGCCGCCAATGCCGACGCCGCAGCCAACCTCGGGACCGACCACGCCGACCACGCCGACCACGCCGACTACTACGAGAACCTCGTCCTTCGACCACTGCCATTGTCGGCCCTCCTTGCCAGCTTCAACTTCCGGTCCAACACGACCCTGTCCGCGTTCGAGGCAGGCAACTTTCGCTTCTTCCCACGCTCAATCGGCCAGATCCTGCAGTACGCCGGCACGCGCGAGCTGCACCTGCGCTTCAGCCTGGGCCGATGGGACGCCGAGAGCTGGGGCGCGCGGCCGTGGGCGGGCACGCGGGAGGGCGGCACGGGCGTCGAGCTGTGGGCGTGGCTGGACGCGCAGACGGACGACGAGGCGGACGAAAAGTGGCTGACGCTGACCAACGCGCTGTCGGGGCTGTTCTGCGCGTCGCTCAACTTCATCGACGGCACGCGCACGACGCGGCCGGTCATGTCCTTTGAGCCCGAGGGCGACCACCCGGCCAACGCGTCCATGCAGCTGCTGTACGGCACGCTGCCGCGCGAGGTGGTGTGCACGGAGAACCTGACGCCCTTCCTCAAGCTGCTGCCCTGCAAGGGCAAGGCGGGCATCGCGTCGCTGCTCGACGGCCACAAGCTGTTTGACGCGTCGTGGCAGAGCATGGCCATTGACGTGCGGCCCATTTGTCCCCACGGCGGCAACGACGGCGAGTGCGTGCTGCAGATTGAGCAGTCCATCGACATGGTGCTCGACATTGAGCGGTCCAAGCGGCCCCGCGACAACCCGATCCCGCGCCCGCTGCCGGGCCACGAGCTCAAGTGCGACACCGCCAAGGCCTACCACGACGACGACCATGTCTGCTTCCCGGCCAACTACAGCGCCCACCAGGACTGGAGCCTGACGCAGATCTTTGGCAAGGCCATGCGCGGCACCTGCACGCTGGCCGACCCGGCGACGCCGCCCGTGTGCCTCGAGGTGCCGGACGCGCGCTCGGTGTATGTGTCCGAGGCCGTGCGCGAGGCCAAGAACGCCAACGGGCGCGCGCGGTGTTTCTTTTTCGGGCCGGACACGACCTTTGAGGTGATGCTGCCCAACGAGGACACGCCGGCGGCGCAGGAGTCGGCCGTGCTGGCGCCCGAGACGCCGCTGCTGTATGCGGAACGCAGCCTGACGGGCCACGGTGCCGAGCGCGGCGGCGTGCAGACGATCCTGACGAACCCGAGCCCGGACACCGAGGTCGAGTTTGTCTACATGGAGTCGCTGCTGTGGTTCATGCGCATCTACCTGCACACGCTGTCGGCGCGGCTCGTGGATGCCGAGGGGTCGGGCGGGCAAGGGCGCGACGTCATTCAAGACGTATACTATCGCCCCGCGCTCGACCGCGCCCGCGGCACGCAGCTCGAGGTCCGCATGCGCATCCCCCCGGGCGGCATGGTGTTTCTGACGTACGACTTTGAAAAGTCCATCCTGCGCTACACCGAGTACCCGCCCGACGCCAACCGCGGCTTTGACGTCGCGGCCGCCGTCATCACCATTCTGCACCCGCCGTCGTCGCGGGCCGCATCTTTGCCTTTGCCGGCCTCGGACCGGACGGCCGCCGGGCGGTCCAACCTGCGCACGACGACGCTGCTGCTGTCGCTGCCGACGCCCGACTTTAGCATGCCGTACAACGTCATCATCTTTACGTCGACGGCCATTGCGCTGGCCTTTGGCGGCATGTTCAACATTATCGTGCGGCGCTTCGTGGCGGCCGACGAGGGCCCGACCGTGAGCCTCAAGGCGGTGCTCGGGAAGCTGGTGGTGCGGGTGCTGGCGCTGGCCAACAAGACGCCCAAGACGGGTGACCAGCCGGTGCCAGAAACGGCCTCTGACGCGGCAGCCAGCGCGGCAGCCAGTGCAGGAGCCAAACGGTGATGGCGGGCGGACGATGGTTGGCAGACGATGGTTGGCAGACGATGGTTGGCAAGACTCTGCCTCTGAGCAAAAAAAGAAGACTTACGTACATTGCATTTGTTTTGACCGAGCTTTGCATTTGTTTTGTTCCATTCATTTCCGTTCATATCCGTTTATCTTGGTCATTATTTTCCTTTGTACTATCATGAAGAATAAATAGACATTGACTAACTCTGACACGGTTTTGTTCACGTGAAGGTTGGTGGCCTGCAGTACAAAGTGCATCGTTGCGTACGAAGTCGTTGTTTGACATTCTATCCATAACGAGAGTTTGCTTCTCGGTTCTTGTATTCCCCAGGACTTTGTCTTTCATATTTGCCTCTCCCCCTTCTTTGGTCTCTTACGATTCTCGTCCTTTCTAGTAACCTCCTCTGCTGCCAACCGCCCGGAACCAAGGACGTACACAGGGCATTGGTGTGTTTGTGCATTGGCAGAACGAGGGCCTCGTAAACGTCAAGTAGGATGATATGGCGTCACACAATACGGTGAAGGTTCATTTATTAAGGTGAAAATTATTTAAGGTAGTGAATGATAAAGCTTTGGAGGGGGCTGCAAACAGGTGGTTTTTCATAAGGTAGGTAGATATGGGCATACAAAAGCAAGTCAACCCACTTCGCCGGGTCCCAGACATAACAGTAGAAAAGAGAGGAGCCATTCTATACCCTCTCTGTGAGAAGTGAAAGCACAGGATAAAAACAAAATCAAACGCAGGATCCCAATCATAAAGGTTTGTATAAACCCGACCACAAAGAGACGTCAAGAGTGCGGGTATGGTATATAAGAAGCAGGTGTGAAAAGACGACGACAGGCAAGTGTAAAACGAAGACACGACGTGCCTGGGTCTAGGAAAAGTACATGTGGAGAGGCAGAGGAGAGGCAGCGACGCTCGCTCAGTGCCGCGTCTCCTTCCAGATGGGCAAAAAGATGAAGATGCAGACGCCGACGCAGGAGAAAAAGGCACCAAAGACGAGGCTCTGGATCACGATGCGGTGCTGCAGGCGGCGCAGGTGGGTGTCCTTGACGCGCATCTTGCGGTCAAAGATCATGAGGCGCGAGAGGGCGCGCACGATGCTGAAGCGCTGGGAGACGACGCTGGCGCTGTCGTCGAAGCGCTCCCAGGGCAGGGGCTGGCGGCGGGTGAAGAGCAGCAAGAAGAAGCAGGAACCGCGCAGGCCGCTGAGGATGAGGCTGAGGCCGAGCCACCACATGGGCCAGGCGGCAAAGACGTCGAAGCGGGAGTGGGCGCCGATGTGCGGCGTGAAGGCGCGCAGCAGCACGGCGAGGACGCCGCCGACGGTGAGGACGATGCCGAGCGTGGTGGCGACGCAGAGCGTCTCAAAGGTGCCGTTGGAGACGCCGAGGCGGACAAAGTTGCGGTGGGAGCAGTTGCGCAGCAGCAGGTAGACGTGGTCGGCAATGGGCTTGAGGTGGGCCGGGTCGGAGGAGTGGGCCAGCTCGGCGAGGGCGGCGTCGCGCAGGGGCGCCGGGATGTTGAGTTCCTTTTCGGCGCCGGGCCGGAGGAAGGTCTTGATGACGGCGTTGAGCTCGGCGCGGCGACCGGCGCTGGCGTCGACGAGGTTCAGCGTGTTGGAGGCGACGCGCTTGAAGCTGGCGGGCTGGGGCACGGGCGGCACGGGGGCCTTGGGCAGCTCAAAGGTGGGCCGGCAGGTGTCGCCGGCGCACATGGCCTGGGTGCTGATCATCTCCGTGATGCGGGCGAGGGTCTCTGCGATTTCCGGGTCGGACGAGTAGGTCTCGGTGGGGGTGGCAGCAGCAGTGGTCGTGGCGGTGGAGGTGACGGTGACGTTGTCCTTCTTGGTGAGGGAGGTGGTGCTCTCTGTCTCGCTGTGGAGGGACGATGAGTCCTTTTCGGCGGCCAGGGCACGCTTGTAGTTGTCCTCATAGTTGCGGTACCAAATGTAGAACTCGAGGTTCTCGGGCGAGAACTCGATGTACTTGAGATACATGTAGAAGTCGTAGAGAGACATGGGGCTGCCTGGGGAGAGGGTCAGAAGGGCACATAATTATTGGACTCGTGACGGTGAGGGTGAGGGTGACGGTGACGGTGATAGTGACGCTTACAAGTCTTGTTCTCCAGCACACGCTCGAGGCGCAGGCGGGCGGGAATGTGTGTGCGAGCGCGGCCATCGGGACTCAGTGGCCGCTTGCCCGAGACGACGGCATTGGAGTACTCCTTGATGTCGCGGTACTCGGGCTTCTTGTACCAGTTGAGCCAGGAAGGAATCCACATCGTGGCGGTGTGGGACGTGGTGAGAAGGACGGATGTGTGGTGATGTAGAGTGTTGACGGTCGATGGATGCAAACACTTGATGGGAAATTCAAAAAAGAAAGACAAGGAAGAAAAGAAAGAAAAAGGAAGGGGCTAGGAAGACGAGGGAGGGGAGACTATTATATTAATATTGTACTGAGAGAACGGAATGGAGGACAATCATAAATAAGAAGGAAGTAGACAAGGACGGACAAGGACAACAAGGATGACAAGGATGACAAGGATGGACCAAAAGACCGGGACGCAAAGTACATCGTACGACCTACAGGGAAGCATGGCCACGGCCGGAAGCCACACGACCTGCACCCAGCCAAGAAGCAAACCGCGCGACGCAACATGGCATGGCTGCCGCCATGTGGTCTGTCCGGCGGGAAGGCGAGTGTAACGACTTGGATGTGCACAGCAAGGGCAGTGGTCAGTGGAGGGTGACAGAGTGCTCGTACCTCATACTCCATACTCCATGAGGTGCCGATCCCTCCACTTGGCTGATAGACACGACTGCCGACGGCCACAGAGGACCGAGGAAGGTGTATTGATACACCCATGCACCGTGTTGCGGTGCACTGTCTTGGTCCGTGTTGCAAAATCCAGACTGCGGAAGTACGTTATACGGCGGTGTCAAGATGGGTCCTCCTATTGCAGCAAGGAGGTGGACCAAGATGCGAAAGGGAGGGCGGGGAGAGGCACGACGCAAGGGCCGTCAAAACAGACGAAAATCGGACAGCGGACGAGGGGAGCAAGGACAAGAGAAGAGGAAAAAGAAAACGGAAAATCTCAAACAAGAAATGCCTACACCCTCAAGACTGCACCCTCAAGACAGAAACAAACACCACCCTCTGGAGGTGCCCTGAGCTAGCGTGGCGTTTTGCAGGGAATGTGGACTGCGTCGCAGTAGTGTGTGTAAGTCGGATTGGGACAAACGACGTACAGACTGGGATCCAATCCCTCTGCATCTCGTTTTTATTTTCCTTTATTGCAATGTCCGGGACGTGGGTAGCACAAGACAGAGCATGCACCGCGTACAAAGCGGACAAGGGAGTAGTTGGGATGACAGGCAAATTAAGTCTCGGGATGGAAGTAAGCAAGACAATGTACGACGGACGACGGCAGAAAAACTGAAAATAACATGGGAATAAAAGAAGCGCACAAATGACGAGATGGCAGGACAGTATTGCGAAGGGTGAGCGGAGAGAGAAAACACAACAAGTGGCAAGAGAAAGTCAAGCAGGACACGATGAGAGGAGACTTCCCAGCCAATACAATGGACAGACGCGCCAGTTGTACGTAGTTGCTATGCATGTTTCAGACATTTCGTCCACCGTCGTTGTTTCTCTCCCTTTTTTACTGGCTTTTACCAGCTTTAGCTTTTTCTGCTCGATCAAGACAAGACCTCACCCAATCGGGTCAAGACAACCCATCCTCCCATCCCTCTGCAGTGTGGCGCCGATCATTTTGTTTAGGTGAGTGGGCAAGAGAACGTGCGCTGGTGCGGTTGCGCTGCCGTCCAGAAATACTGCAGTACAAGACGGCGACAGCGCCAGGACACAACGCCCAGGCAGCACAGCAGACACAAATACAATACAGACACTCGGTACAAAGGACAACGTATTCGTAAGACAGCGCACGTCTCGGTGCAGGAGTGCATACAAAGTCGAACGCGTTCGTTCATGCCGTGCTTGTCGAACCACACGTGTTTTTCCTACGGGATGCTGGCCTTGAACGGAATACCCGAGGAAACGTGCTTGCAGCGGAACATGTTTGGATGTCTTTTGTCCATGATGATGTCTGGCTGTCCGTTGCAGGTTGCCCGGATTGTTTCCTAGGATGTCGTCTTGCTGTCCTTGTGCTAGTCTCCCGACCTGTTCCAATCGTGTTTTGTTGTACAAAGGAAGACGTACGACGTACGACGTACGACGTGCTCCGTGCAAACGTATGGAGTCAACACGGCCACCGCAACGATCGACAAAACCCTGGCTGGCCGAAGACGGCGTCACCCTCGCATCCACGTCCCATCACATCACAGGCGCATCACAGCGCATAGCCGTACGAAGTAGATCCCTCACGATTGCGGCGATTTCTCGTGATTTTCCGGCTCTGCGGGTATGCACGCAACGGGAGAACCCAACAGCAACGATCTGCGAGGCAATGTCTTCTTTTTCTTTTATTTCCTTTTATTTCCTTTTTTTTTTCTTTTTTTTCTTTTTTCTTCTTTTTTCTTCTTTTTTTTTCTTTTTGTTTTATTCTGTTTTATTCTGTTTTATTCTGTTTTTCACCCTTCTCCCTTCTCTTTCACTTACCCACAAAGGAGTCGTTCATGATTGTTTGCCGTTTCCTTGCTTCGTCCTCGTGTTATCGGTCTTCCTCACATCTTGTCCGAAAGCACGGACGTTTGCCCAAAGGATTCTCGTTACTCCTCCTTATTTCTCACCTGCCATTGTAATGCCCTCCGAATCCATCTCCTGATATCTTGCCAGTGTCTTCTTGGCGTGGGCCGCAAATTGTGGACTTTCTGCCTTGCATCGCCAGATACCTCCTGAGTGGTCCACCTGGATGGACTAAAGTGTGTGTGCTGAAGTCGTCTAGTCTTTGTTCCTTTCTTACCCCTGATCTAAAACCACACACTACAGCAGCAGACCAGCTTGTCACGCTAGGAACATTTTATTCGATCAACTGCCAAGCACAAGAAAGGAAACGAAAACATAAAGGAAACAAGGAAAAGAAAGAAACACCACAAAGGGATAGAAAAAGAAACGTGGCGCATTTGACTTCCAGAATAGGCACGCTCGGTACTCCGTACTTTGACACCAAAGGACGCGAACCCAATACGATTCGAAAAGGGCAGACGGTTCGTTTGGTGACAGCTAGGGCACGCAATGGCTGCTCGATACTGGGCTCGGATGTGTATCTTACCGACAAACATAACCAAAAGAGAATCACTTGAACACTGCCTAGGCCGGCCTCAATGTTTGGTTCGGCTTTCAATAGTTTGTTGTAGGTGGCCCCGTGCCCATTACTAACAACATCAAAGCGCAAAGGTCGATGAGAAGGCGAGGAGACAAGTGACCTGACCTGTCGTGGAAGATACGAATTGTTTAAGAGCCAGGCAGAAAATCACGAGAATAAAACGCGTCCGGTAAACTTGACTTTGGGCCAACGTGATTATTTCCTCCGTTTACTTAAGTTTGTTCTCCCGGCAGTCGTCGATCCGTTCTGCTGGTGTCTTGAACGTCTCTCGCTTTTTGCCTCTGATTTTCTTGGGTGTCTCACTCAACTCGTTTTTCGTTTCTTTTTATCTTTTCTTTTCTTTTCTTCTTTTGCTTCCTTCTTTTTCCATCGTCTCTTTTCACTGTCGATCCCACAGCCCACGCACTCGTCGGCCGCATATCTTTTCCGTATTAAGAAAAAGGCCGGTGACAGGGCAGTCGAGCCTCAGGGCAGACTGGCGCAGGAAAAGCCCAAAACCAGCAAAGCACCTGCGGGCCGGAAAATCCAGCTGGCTAGACATGGCAGGCCTGAACAACCCCTGCAGAAGCCTACCCTGGGCATGACCTCGGCGTGCACCATGAGCACCCCTGACAAACAGCTAGACAGCTTCGCTGGACTCGATCGCCGTCTCGATTTGTGTGCCAGTTCCTTGTCGTTGAGATCACAGCTGAATTCATTGTGAAAAGCCACGCTTGAAATTAAATTCTCGCTTTTTTTGCCATGTCTTCAGCTCCACGTTCTCTTCAGCTATTCCTCCTCCTGTCTTGAATCACGCCACTCAGGCGTGTTTTCAGCCACGGGCAGCCATATTTTGTGTAAATTGGATGTGACTGGCGGCCCTGGAGAAGAAAGAAGAGAAAAACTACAACGTTAACAACTGCGGGACGGGAGGTGTTGACCAAGAACATCGTTTTGGTATGGACCGACAAATACACATGCAAGTACACACAATCCTGGGGATTTCGCCTGGCTGCTGTGATAATACTTGGTCATCAACATTACCTATAATGTACATTCGTAGTATGAACATGTAAAGTCCACCAGTTTCCAGGATCGTCACAACTGGCTCATGGGCAGCCCTCGGCCGGATCACATCCGGTCCCAAACGAGTAGCATTCTGCGTTCCCCTGTCACTGCCATGAGTGATGTGCGCTGTGCAGTACTTTGTACGGGTGCTCAACGGCCCTACTGCGCGTCCCAAGACAGAGGCGCCAGGTCCGGGGAGTTGCGTTGCAGTTGCAGTTCGTCCCGCCTCAGCCCTGGCGTCGATCTTTGGGGGGCCGGAGGCACTCATTGACAATGACATAACACGATTCATCGACCAACAGAAAGGGCAACCAGCAGGATTGTGAGTGTTGGGAGATCCCAGGCGTGGTGGTAGATAATAAAGGGAAATGTTTTTGTGTTTATTATTTGACAAGGTCCAGGGACAAGATGGCCGTCCTATCAGACGACCCAATCTGTCGGAGAGGCAAATTGTCACGTACTTTTTGAACGCACCCCGGTATCTCTAATTATTCTGCCTTGGAAGGAATGAGAAAAGGAGGAAGCGAGAACAGGAAAAAGGAGAACAGGAAAAAGGGAGCGTAGAAAGAGGCAAAGACCACTCACAAAGGCAGACCAAAGGAACAGCAAGCTCAGACATGCTGCAGTCGTAGCCGTTGGGCGAGACGGAACAACAGGAAGCAGAAATGCGACGCGGGCATTCTCATTCTCTCTGCCGTTTAAACACAAACACATGTGGTCGGCGGTGTATGTCCCCTCCACTTCCCCCTTGCATTTTGTGTAGCTTGCATCACTGCATTGGTAGTGTTGACAAAAAGTGACAGAAGTGACAGAAGTGACAGGATTGACTTGGACAAACGTTCAGCACTCTCACTGGCATGGTTTGCCACTTAAGGGTGGGCCTAGCCAGAGCCAGGCGCGACCCGTCTAACCTTAACCCGAAGGCGGATCAGCGTGCGATCTGTGGATAACAGGTATCTCAACTCGTTTTGGTGCCTTTACCCGCCGCCCTGACCGTGATCCCCAGTGTTCCCAGTGTTTCCAGTGTTCCCAGCATCCCTTGCGTCCTCGTGTCGCCCCTGCGACCCGACAATGCTTGCTAGTGGGCCGTCAAAGCCCGTAGAAATAAAATCAGTTGGGTTAAAACACAATCTGTACAATACGGGTTTTCTCATATATTCCCCGCAAAGACAACGTTCTGAAGTCAGAGGCTGATGCTGTGATGCGTCCTTGCAGTTCTAGCAAAAATGTTAAAAACAAAAAGAGTCGTGGTCGTCAGTCGCAAGTCGTAAGTCAAGTCAGAACTGCCTACCTCTCAGTCTAGTCTGCCTCCACACTCCAACCCCTCACGTCGCCAGGCCACGCGTGGATACACTACTGCAGCCTATTGCCCACACATGGGAGGGGACGATCGTCGCCCGCTAGCCACCGCATCCCAACGGCGGCATTCCAGTGAGACATGTATGTCCCATGAATTGCGAGGAGGTCGATGTCGAAATAACGAACGAAACAGCACCTGTGAAGCAAGGGCGGCTGTTTCTGTGTTGTTCACAGAGAGAAGACATGTTTTGTCTTATTGTCCGTGGTGGCAAGAATGTTTAAAAGTCAAAACGTCCAAGCATGTGTCCCTCCTGGGGAAGATTCTGCGCGGACAGGACAAGCAGAGCAATGAATGATCGACAATATACCACGTTTATTAGTTCTTTTCTACGAATGTATTCTACACGTTCTCTCTATTCTCTGTGTCTCGGCCTTGTCGACTGTCTTTCGATGTCCTAGCTTCCAGCACACGCTGTTTCTCAATCGCGTTGTCCTCCCGTCATTAGCCTAGGACCTCGAGGTACGTTCTACATCCAACTTGCCCTGGCATAGATTGCACCCAGTCCTACTTTGGCATGAAGTAGACAGACAGGAACGTGGAAAAATAAATTAGAGAAGAATAACTCAGAGGAAGAATGAATCAAAGGAAAGCAAACCAGTTGTCATACGTCAACAGCTTCATCTCAAAAAGGGATCACACAACTGCAAACTCGTTAACTTGATGTGAACTCGGCAACCCACGCCGGAGAATTTCGGGCCAGCTCCGAACCTGGAAGCCATTTTGGCATACAGCATCAGAAATCAGTTGCAGCCGATGCGCCGGGACAGGACGACAGACTCGCCTGGATCTCTTTCAGGAACGCAGGCGCCTCGCTACCAACTGCGTGTGCCACATGCATAGCAGGCGACCAATGCGGATTCAATGCAACATTGGACCGCCGATGGCAACACACAGTGGTTTTGTTGAGGGTGGTTTGCGCCAAAGACATGCCCAAACAACGGACGAGGGCATCTTCATCTTAAAAGAGAGAGCAGACGGGGACAATTCAATCCATCCTTTTTTCATTCTGATGCAAAGAACATTGGCCTTACGGAATGCTCCGTACAAATCCTCCATGCCTCCCAATTGCCTTCAAAACAAGCCTAGTGGTTTGCTCTGGCGCTGCGCACGGGCAGCCAAAAGGTCCAGGCACCGCGTCCCCAAGCGTCGACAAGAAGACGACGTACCTTACCGTATACCTTCTTGAGAAAATCGATTGACGTTGCGCACGGTCGTTTACTGTCAACCAGCCATCCAATAGTGCAAGTGTCACTTCAAAAATCAATAAAGTTTGCTACAAGAACTTGGGCAGCGCGGAGACGAGGAGAATTCGTGGGCATTGGAACGCCCATGCTGAACTGCCGACTGCCACTGAGTAGGCCGCCGGCTGGAGAGAGGCTTGAGCGAGTTCGTGGCTGCATCGTCACATTGTCACTTGGACGTGGCTCAGATGCGGGGAAGGTCATGACGGGCACGATGGGGCGGATCCTCGTTCGCGGCCGCCTGCTGGCCCAAGCACATCCGTATTGGACTGTTCTGCCGTCTGCGCCCGGCCGGTTCTTGCCCTCTCGAGCCTCCCGTGCTGAAGTTTCTAGTGATTTCACCAGTGTTGGAGATGCATTTTGCTGTCCAAAAGACGCTGGTTGCATATGTGTATTGACACATGCAAGTGTGTCTGAGTGCCACGTGCTAGACAAGTGTATAGCCTTGGTACCATCGCGTCCAATACATTGTGCGCACTACTCTCAGACCGCCCTCCCAACCATCTGAATATGCATCGCTTGGACAATGCGTGCAGTGCTTCCCCTCTTCCCGGCTGAACATGAGCAATGGTAAAATTGGAGAGCGGTGAACAAGAAGAGAAGAGTGCGGAGGGAAGTAATGAGTTGAGTTCTAAGTTGAGGACTGAGTTGAGGACTGAGTTGAGGACTGAGTTGAGTACTGCGAACAGATACAACAATCCCCGTTTACGACGCGAGATGTACGCTTTGGTTAGTGCGGTGCCGGCTACTGCATGGAGATGGAGGTCGAAGAGACGGAAACAGACGTAGAGGATGTATTGTTGATACAATCGTTTACGATGTGAATACTATGTTTTGAGAAAGCTTAATTGACTATCGACCAATGATTTCTAATTACATAATGCTTTTAAGACGTGATGCAAACAAAACAAAAGAAACAAGTGATAATACAACAATCTCCCCGTGAACGACAAGGGAAGATTGCGTGAACGAATGATGCTATCAAAACAACGTTCACCAAACCACACATATCACCTCCCAACCTCCACCTATACATCACCCATCTTGACCAGCATGTCCGGGCTGTCTCGCGAGTGCAGCTTCATCTGGTGCTCGTAACGGGCAAACGCAGAGGTAGCCAGTGGCGAGCGACGGCTGCGGTTGCGGTTGTGGTCGCGGTTGCGGATATCCTGGAACCAGAAGCCCGGGTGGACGGCCATGAGGAGGACGGACATGATGAGGATGGGGATGCTGTCCAGCGCAATAAAGACACCCTCTTTGGAGGCCAGCGGGCCGTTGAAGCCGCCGCTGAGTTCGGCGGCACGCCAGCAGGAGCGGATGAAGAGACAGGCGGCGGCGACACCGAGGAGAATGCCGTAGCGGGTGGTGCGCTGGTCGAGACCGCGTGTGGTATCGCTGGTGCTGTTGGTGCCGTTGACGTTGTTGACGCGAGAGAGGCGGCGGTACAGACACGCGAGGACGACGCAGAAAATGGAGGTAAACAAGATCTGGGTGCCCAGGCCGGCAATCATGAGGTCGACGCCAATGGGCTGGTCCGCGTAGATGGCCGCGAGCGAGCCGCCGACGCCGATGAAGCAGAGACACAAGAAGTCGCCCAGAATAAAAAGAGTGGAAAACAGCGTGGGACCGAGATACCGGAAGCGGGCCGCCGGGTACGTGCGGAGGAGGGCGCTGATGGACAGGTAGAGCGCCGACGACAAGAACGTGGGCCCGAGCGTGAGCCCGATAATGTACATGATGTAGCCGTTCTTGTTGAGGCGGTCATGGGCGAGCATGACTTTGGCAACGTAGCCCAGGAGCTCGAGCAGCAGGCCGCAGAGCATGCCGATGGCGTTGCCGTAATAGCGCCAGAAACGGGCGGACACAAGCAGCTGAAGAAATAGGAGCACGCCGTAGGCAATGGAAAAGACGACGGCCGGCACCATGAGCGGCGTGAACGGCAGAGCGCCGACGCCATTGGGCGGGACGTGGGAGGAGGAGGAGGAGGACGAGTCGGAGCTGTTCATGGTGGGAGGTGACTGTCTTGGAAAGCGCGAAGGATGTCAGGTCGTCTGATAAATAGAATGTACGTCAAATGAATGTACGACGTATGGCAGCCTCTCTGACCGCTGGGTTTGTTGAGTTTCGAGATGGAGAGCCGAATGCGTGGTGATGATGCTCAGGCTGACCAGTTTATACAGTTGCAATTTGACCGTCTTCATGAGTTCAATTTCTTTAAACGGCTGCCTGTTGTCTGCGTCTGCATTGTCTATTTTTGTCGACACCGACCGTAGTCGTCGCAGTAATGTACATCGCGAGACAAGTTCCGCCACAACAACCGCTGTGTTATCGCCGTGATGTCGCCGTTGAGCGCGGAGATTTTGTATAATGTGATTGGGCTATATTTGTGGGACGTGCCTTTTGTGTGAAAACGGAAATTTCGAAAATGTCCGCACTGCGAATCGAATTTTCCGCTTGGGGGAAAGTGTCGCATATTCTCCGGACAAACCCCGCACAATACCCGTTATATACCGATGTCTCTCACCTCAGCCCATGATCGTGCTCAAGGACAATCAGCGAACACGCAAACGCATACACGCACACACATGCGCGCGGACATTGACATACACTAAACTTTGAAACACACACTCACCCACCCGCACACCCCACCGCAATGCGCCTCCGTCGGGGCATGGTCCGCGAGTCGTGTGACTTTTGTCACCGCCGCAAAATCAAATGCGATCGCCTGTCGCGCAACGACACGGGCCACACAGCCTGTTCGCAGTGCTCGCTGCGCGGTGTGCCGTGCCGCATGGACGACGCGGACGACATTCGGCTGCACGGGCGTTGGCGGCAGACCCAGAGCCAGACCCAGACCCCGTCGTCCCCCGCGGCCCTCTCCACGCCGACGACGTCGTCCGAACAGCGGCAGACCCCAACAACCTCCGTTCGACGCACATTGCGGCAGAATGGTGGCGTACCAAGCCACCAATCACCGTCAGCCAGCCGTCTGGGCACAAGCATCGCCACGGCGGGCGCCAGCCCTGTGTCGGTGGCATCCATGGCGTCGGTGGACGAGGCGTCAAACAGTTTGTCGTCGTCTTTCAGCCGTCCTCCACAGCATATAGCTCCGTCAATGTCCACGTCGTCGATGGCCACGTCGTCACTGGCCACGCCGGCGTCCATGAATTTAGAGGTCGGTGACCAGGGTAATGCAGTTCATAGTCTCCTAGCCCCGTCCCAGTCGTCCCAGACCAAGCCTCTTTCGCAGCCTCAACTACATCCCCAGTCCAGCCTGTCGTACAACGTAACTTCGTCCGCCGGCACCATCAACACGTTCCACTCCATCGCCTCCATCAACACGCCACCTTCGTCGTCCGTGGCCGAGGACCTCATGTTCTTGGACGACCCGTTCCACCTGAACGCCGACAGCATTTTCTTCCTGGACCAGATCTTTACAGGCTATCCGGACGGCCCGGCATACGGGCCGCTGCCAACGTGGCCCAGCAGCACCGGCAACACAATGTCGTCTTCGGACTTTCAGCCCCTGGTGCTCAACCAGGTGCACCCAGCGCAGGTACAGGCGTTGCCCACGGTCGCGGATGCAAGCCTGCCGGTGCACTCCTATACGATGCAAGCCACGCAGCAGCCATCACAGCAGCCATCACAGCAGCCATCACAGCAGCCATCACAGCAGCCATCACAGGAACCATCACAGGAACCATCACAGGCACCATCGCAGCCGCCTCCACAGGAGCATGGAGGGCCAGCGTTGGCGGACGGCCTCAACGACGGCGGCTACGATCCTCCGCCCTGGACGCGCTGCGGCCTGGACGAGGCCACGTTCCTCCAGGCCCTGCGCGCCTACTTTGCCTACGCGACGCTCTACCTGCCCATTTTGCTGGAGGACGCCTTTTGGCAGGACTACCAGGCGGGGCGCTGCAGCCTCAGCATCATTTATGCGGTGGCCTGCCGCGGTCTGCCGTTCACAGCGCCGCCGCTGTCGGCCACGCGCGACGACCGCCGCCGCATCTGGCGCCAGCAGCAGCACGTGGCCGAGCAGTTCCGCGAGGCCTTTTTTGTGGCGCAGCTCAGTGCCAACCGCAACGGCGGCCGTGTGCGGCTCGACGACCTGGAGGCGCTGGCTCTGATGGTGTTTTTCAAGTACAACGGGGACGAAGGGGGAGGAGGAGGTGGTGGTGGTGGTGGTGAAGGAGGAAGTGGAGGAGGAGGAGGAGGAGAAAACAACGAAGCGACACTCTCGCAGCTGCACGCGCACCTGGCCGGACTGTACCTGACACGCGACTCGCTCGTGCTGATGACAATGCAGTCGGGCATCGACGTGCCCGACGTGGGCAGCCGGCCTCTGTCGACGGCATCGACATCGACAGTCCCATCCACATCGTCCGACCCGACGGCGCCCGCAGCGCGTCTGCACGACCGCCGCACCATCTTGTACTGGCATGTCTACGGCCTGGACAGCTTCGACTGCCTCGACAAGAAGACGCTGAGCCGCATTCCCGACGGCAACCACCACCTGCTGCTGCCCACAGCGACGTCGACGTCCACATCAACATCAACATCATCATCAACAGTGACATCTGCCCCCAACCGACTGCCCGCCCTCCCCCGCCACCACGAAGAGGCCCGCGGCTACCTCGACGCCGTGCTCGACCTCGCCGTCCTTGCCCGCAAGGCGCTCGTGTCCCTCAGCAACGCCACCGCCCGCCGCAGCGGCGTCCGCGCCGACCAGCTCGAGTCCGTCTACGCCCTCCTCGAGCAGTGGCAGCGCACGACCTGCCCGGCGCACTTGCGGCGCCAGCGGGACGCAGACGGCCGCCTCAGCCTGGCGGCGGGCGTCAACACAAGCAGCGCCAGCAGCACAACCAACACAAACAGTGGCGACGGCGGCCAGGTCCAGCTGCACCGCGCCGTCGTCTGGATCCTGGAGATCAACTGCTACCTGCAGATTGCCGACTGCGTGGACCAGTACGGCATCCTGGCATCGGCCACCACCAGCCTCGACGACGAAGTCGCGCGGCTCCGCGTCGAGGCCGAGACGCTGCGGCAGGTGCGGGATGCCGTCCAGATCGCCCGCGCCATCCTCGCGTACGACGCCTCGCCGCGCCGCGGCACCACCTTCTCGCTGCCCGACCTGGGCACGTCCATTGTGCGCGACTGCTGCGTCGGCGTGGCCCGGTGGGCGTGCTTCCGCGGGCAGCAAAAGGGAGAAGTGGGTGGTATCACCACGACTACCGCCACCAGCAGCGACAAAACAAAACGCACACGCCACACCATGGCCACCTACCTCGAGGCGGCGACCGTCCTGCGAAACGCAGCAGCCACGGCCGTCTCGCACGCCGACACCCAGCCCGCAATTGACCGGCTGGACAAGGAGATTGCCAGTCTGGTGGCTGCTATGGACGACGTTGCAGGAAAGTGAAGGGGGGGGGTGCATGACCATAATGAATAACGATTTGTAATGGACTTTGGACGGGCATATACCATAACTCATGAATTTGGTTTACTCATGTTTGACTTGCGTCGTATTCTTATTTACATTGTTAGCTTTAATGTAAAAAATGTATTATTTTTGGCGTTGCTTATTGGTTTTTATTTTTTTAGTTGTACATCCTTGAATAATATTCATCGGTTTTCCTGTTTCTTTTTTCAGTTTTTTCATTTTTTTTTCAATTTTTTTTTTTCATTTCATGTAAATCTATGTCCGTTTGCCACAGTTCCCCTCCGTCGGCATGCGTCCGGCCGATGCCCGATTGATGTTGCACTGAACCCTCACTCCGTCCTCGTCTTCGGCATACATGAACAGCAACAAGTGTCTAATGGCGGATGCCGGTTGATCGACACTGCGTGCGTTGTCGTTCTCGGCGTCACATCTCTTCGGTGTACATTGCAGAGCCTCAGTCCTCAGTCCTCAGTCCTCAAAGCCACCGTCTTGGGACAGCAATCTTGGATAGACAATGAAGCCAAGCCGTCTCGCCGAACGATGACACCCTGCCTGATGTACGTGTAGTGAGGTGAGGTGCAGAGAGGTGCAGTGAGGTGCATTTGATGTGCATCAAGTCCTTCAAGTGCACACGATGTGCACGCCTTGGCCAATATGCCGTTGCTGCGTTGGGGCACTGCCTGTCCACAAGCCAATCACAGACCCCAGTCGTGTTTCTTGTTCAGCTGGCCGTGCCCCCTTCTCCTCTTTCCCCGTTCTCTTATTTCTCCACAGCTACGGCATATTCTGCAAGGAGACGCTGCTGTTCCTGCTGTTCGTGCTCTTCCTGCTGTTCCAATACGAGAGATCCATGTCATGTCCCAAATCGAGGCTGGCAAAGAGTACGGACTATGTGTCCCGCAGCATGCCACTCTTATGCCCGGATTCGGCAGCGAGCACAGAGTCATACAGAGGTACGACATACAGCCTTGCCAATGGGCTTGATGGCATGTCAATGTCCCCACGCATTTATGGTCAGCTCATCGAAGAAGGCGCAGCACTCACGTGTTGCAGGCGTTTCTCTTGTTTTTCGACTACGGAGCGTTCTTCGTGTTGTTTGGGTCTTGTTCCTTATCTCCTCGACGCCGAAGCTCCCCATTGTCTCCTTCCTTGCATGACCGTGCTTGATCTCGACCTGCACAGCTGTTGGACCGTTGCTTCGTGGGAAGGAAAGAAGGAATCGCTGTCTGGCCTCGAAAAATCGTCTCTCCACGTTTAAAAACGTCACGCGTCTGTGGAGACGAGACGTGCTCAAGAAATACCACAAAGCACCGAATGTTGAAGAATAAAATGAATGGAATGCTTGGTTAAGCTCTACAGCGAATGCATGTGGCCCGTTGCTCAGTGGATGGGCCATCTACACAGTAAAGCGGATTTGGCGCGCATCACGAATTATGACGTTTTGCGCGTCCATTGTTGAGCGACAGGGGGTTGGGTAAATCGCCAAATACGGGTTTGAGGAGCGGAGAACGAAGCCACGAAAAGGGAAGAAAAGGGAAGCCATCTCGGTCGTAGGCTGCAGACTAAGAAACAAGTGCCTAATCTGGCCCGACCGTCTCCCAACTCATCTCTCATGTCTGTCTGATGGACATGCACGGCATGGTGCCGAGATTGTGGGACCGGGCCATGAGCCTGGACGCTGCATGGTTTTGCTGCTCTCTTCTTTTTTAGCATGGGTTTGTTGAATGTTGGGTTTGCTAGTTAGAGGTCTTTCAGCTTGACTAGGACCCGCTTGGGCCACGAGTGGGTCGAGTTCAGCTGGCATGGTCAAGACGAACAGACGAACGAGAGAAACAGGGCTTCCTATTGGTGGTCAGGAGGCGTGACAGCGTGAATTACGGAGTGCAGAAGGACGGCAACAGGGCAGCGGAGCGATGGGGGAGGGAAGGGAAAGCAAGATATTAAAAAAAAGAATAAAAAAAGATAAAAAAAGAATAAAAAAAAAGAAACAAGAGTCGAGAGTCGAGACTACACAGTAGTGACACGCGCCCGCTTACTCGAGTCGTCTGTCCTTGTCTTGTCCTCCATGTCTTGTCCTCTCTTCTTGCCTTTTTCCGCTATTTGAATCCACCTCCGCCGCTCGTCAGGGGTCGTTGAGACAAAGGTGTGGGTTGGGCGTGTTGCTGGTTTAGCTCTTAGCCCGAGACCATTCCTGATCAGATGCATGGCCGTGGTAGTCTGTTGTTGACGGGTGGAACGGTGGGACAGTGGGAACGGGCGGACAAGGGTGGGCACGCACGGGTGGGCTATCTGAAGTAGATCGCCCTTGTGTGGCCTGAGATCGTATCGTGACGATCGGGGGTAATGGGAATGGATTTCGAGGAATTAAATAGACGAAAATCTAGACGAAATCAAGACAGAATCAACCACGTCATGCAAACTCCAGCGTAGTCTAACGGTGATTGCCGGTTGGATGTCCTGTAAGGGAAGCAGAAGTAAGCAGAAAGTGATGGAGCAGGACGCTGTAAACACCGGGGAAAAAAGGACAATATCGAAAGACCCTGCCACACCATACTAGAAGAGCCTGCACTGGTCGGCACTAGCTTCCGCCTATCGAGTTGAATGGAGCTCGTGGATCGTACGGAGACAGCGCAGGGCAGATGGACGGACATACCCTGGCGTGGATGCTAAAGGTAGTCTCGGAGAAATTAGACAAAGAGGTCGGAGGCAACAATAGAATAATGACCCTTCTTCACGGGTGCAGGACGCTGCCATGAGGTCTTAAGGCGGATCAGGTAGCTCTTGCGTCTACAGAGAAGTCGTTCTGACAACACATCATACAAAGTATGCGTTGGTGCCGACTCGTGCCGACTTGTGACCGAAGTCGATGCTGAGTGCCGTAGGCAAGATGGAAGTTCGTTGTTTCGTGTGTCTTGGCTGTCTGGTTTGTTGTCTGTCCGTCGTCGTCTGTCCGTGTCGTCTGTCCGTCATTGTCGTCTATGACAGGGATGCTCACGGCGATGCACCCATTTGCAAGCGCCGGGCACCACAGCGTCAGTTTGAGCTGGGCAGGGGCCGTGTTTGTACGCAGTTGAGCCTCGTATTGACGCTGGCCTTGCGGTCTGTCTGGATTGGGCGGTGGGCTGTTTTATTGTTTTATTGACTCGTTCCTGTGGGGGCGTCTTGTCTTGCCTGCCTTGCCTGCCTTGCTGAGATGCCCAGTCCCGACATGGTTTTGTCGTGTGTTCTGTCGTGCGTTCTTTCTTTTTTAATTTTATGTACCTTCATTGTTTAATTCTTTATTCTCTCCGGCTACTTCTCTCCCCAGTCTTGCTCAGCCTCTGTCATCCCACCCCTCAGACAAGATGCGAAGCTGTATTCAATATTGACGCAACGCCTTTGACGTTTGTTTTTATCATCTTTTCTTCTATTTTGTTTTAATTCTTACTTATTTATCCTTTATTTAACCCCCTCGTTCTCTCCTTTACTTCTAAACTTCTCGTTTAATTCTCATTCCCTTTGCCCCCGCCGTGTCAGCTTCCCTTGCCGGTCTAGCCCCCTTGGACAGATAAATCGAATACAAGAAGCGCCGTTAGTCTCTCTTTGTCACGTCGAGTTCAGCTCCGCCTGGCGCCGACCTTGCCACTGCCTGCCGATGATCGAGGGTGGACATGGTGTTGCAGTTTGTTGGACACTTCTCAACGTCTGACGCAAGAAGCGAGAGAAATGAGTCTGTAACATGATACAAAATAACGAAAGCAAGAAAGCGGTCTACCACTCGAGCTGAACTAAGGAGCCTTCTTGCTCTTCATATTTCCCCTCTGTCGGTTCCTTTTTACTCGTCTCATCTCGACTCTTGCCATATCTGCTCGTCTCCTCGCCTCGTCTCCTCGCCTCGTCTCCTCGCCTCGTCTCGCCTCCTCGTCTCGCCTTCCCTCCATCATGGAGGAGGACGGTGTCTCGTCCGTCTATTCGACCCTGTCGCCGACGTCGTCGTCCTTGGACCTGGCACAATATACACAGCAGCAGCTGCCGTCACAAAGTCGAGTCGACCAGCACCTTCTGCAAAGCCAGCTCCAGCAGGCCAAGTCCCCGCAGCCGCCGCCACAGGGCCTAGTGCCGCTGCAGCGCCCACCCCGTCTCGTGCACTCGTCCTCGTCCAGTTCGACCCTCCCATCCGCCTCGTCGGCCTCCGCCTCTGGCTCTGGCTCGTCGTCCGACGCTGTGCGCGGCCGGTCATCGCGGCCGCCGAGCACACGCCGCCGCAGCAAGCTGTCGTCGCAGGAGCGGGCCAAGATCCTCGAAGTGCGGCGCCAGCGGGCGTGTCTGCGGTGCAAGATGCTCAAGATCCAGTGCAGCAGGGAGAATCCGTGCAAGCCGTGCCTGTCGTCGGCGGTGCGCGGCTACGAGCGCAAGGTGCTGTCGTTTTGCTACTGCGTGCGCACGCGGTTTGTCGACGTCGACATTTTTCAAAGGAGTGCGTGCCGTCTTTCCGTCTTTCCCCCCCTGCCCCCGCGCCCTGTGCCCATCCGTTCTGACTGACGTCGCAGGCGAAGCCGGACCACCACCCGAGATCCCGACCTCCATCCGCACCCTCATGGACCAGGTCGAGCGGCCGACACTGCCACCAGCCGTCGCGGAGTCTTTTTCGTCTGCTTCCACGGCGCCCGCCTCCGCCTCCGCCGCCACGCACGACCTCTTTGAAGACACGCTGCTTCGCTGGCTCACAAGCCCCGACCACGCACCGCCCGACGGCACCAGCAGCATTGTCGCGCTGCTGTACGACGTGGTCGGCCACGAGGACAGTCTCCGCGCCGCCGTCGACGACCGCCTGCCCGCGGACTTTCAGACGTTTTTGTTTACGACGTCGCTCGCCCACAGCGGCTGGCGCGGCGGCGGCGACAACAACGGCAGCGCCACCGCCACAGGCACCAGCACGCGCACCGTCTCGCACCGGGACCTCTGCATTGCCGGCCACGTCTGCGGCTCGCGCATCGTGCGGCGGCTCGACCGCGTCCTGACGCCGCAGTTCCTGGCCAAGTGCGACCGCACGACGCACCGCGCGCTGCTGCTGCTCGTCGTGGGCGTCATCCTCGGCGTGTCCTACAGCACGCGCCTCACGACGTCGCCGTCGTTCCCGCACGACCTGCTGGGTGCCGAGATGCGCCACAGCCCGACGCTGTGGCTGGCCATGAAGGAGCACCTGGCGCAGATGCTGGCCCACCATTTGATATTCCTCGGGTCCATGCTCGGCATCAAGCTTGACACGGCTGCCGAGAAGACCATCATCGACACTGCCGTCGACCGCTGGCACAAGCCCGAGCGCAGTCTGTGGGCGGGCCTTTCGCCGGCCGCCGGCGGGACGTCGGCTGCTGGCACACCAACAGCGACGCCGACTCCGGCTCCGGCGCCCACGCCAGCACCGCTGTCCGACGACGCGCTGACGGCCCACACACTGGGCGCCCGCCTCGGCGATTTCAACACGGAACTCGACAGCCCGCCCGCCGCCGTGGAGACCCGCATGGCCCGCCTGTCCATTGTCGCCCTCAGCGACCCGGACCTGCTGCAGCTGCAGGCCGTCCCGCCCATGTCCGACGACGACGCCAGCGCCAACCCGGCGTCATTTTACAACATGGACCCGAGTCAGGCCGGCCCTGCAAACAACGCACACGACCCAAACAACCCAAGCGGCCCAAGCAACCCAAACAATCCAAACGACCCCAACGACTCAAACAACCCCAACCGTGCCGGCAACCCCGGCGACGGCCCACCGCACACCCGCAAGAAACGCTCCGTGTGGATTGTCCGGCCCTACGACGACGGCGGCCACCGCGACCCCGTCAGCGTATTTGCCCGTTTCCAGCTGCAGCGGGGGCAGAACCTGGGGCTGTTTGTGTGAGGGCGAGGAGGGGCGAGGGATTTGGTGCGTGCTGGTTGTTGGTCATTTTATGTGGTGGTCAGCATTTTTTCATTTGTTTATTCTTCATTCTTTCCTAATTATTTTTCCTTCCTTACGATTTCATGATCATGACGGCATCGTCTGCGGAGAATACACACGACTCGGGACTTTCTTCACTTACATTTATGAATAATATGAGTCACTTCTCGCCATGAGGCCCAGGTATACGTTGTAGAGTTGTCTTTTGTAGAGTGCCGAGTAAATCAGCACAGCCAACCCTGTGATGTTGATAAATCGTCTGGCCACGGCGCCGGTGAGTCACGCTGCCAGGCCGGAGCTGGCCTTTCCTGTCTACCAAACTGCGGATTCTGTTTCGAGTTTCTAGGTGGAGGACGACATTTGTTTGTCAGTGGTGGACCTGCAATGTGCTCGAGGAATTTGCTGCTTTAAAATATGTTGTACTTACAGTGCAAGAAGCAAGGTGCGCACGATAACAAACTGCCGCGGGCCTCGGTGATCTGTCGATGTTATTGCTGCCATACGATGGCTACCACTTGCGTTTCGCACGCGGTGACTGTTCCACTGTATTGTTCAAGCTTCATTGCTTGGGTTGAGGCCATTTGCGGCCGTATTTCGCTGTTGACTCTGCTCGGCGTCAAAGCTCCTGAGAGTTGGCCTCAGTCTTGGCAGCCAGTATCCAGCAATCGTCGAATTGGACTTTTCAACTGCGTTGTCAACCAACTCTTGTTGGAGCTATGCCCCGTATCGCGTCTCCAATCAGACTCACAGCCACTGAGGCCAGGCTCTGCCCGGTTCTTGTCTGTGATCTCCAAATCAGGCCATAGTCAACGCCAAACCTCTTCCCACAGTACGCAGCCGTTGTAAGTCGTACCTCGACACAATCCCCACATGAGTCAAGCGGGGAAATCCCAACGATGCTGCGATGGATGCTGCGCTGAGGCCAATCCACGCCAGGCCAAGCAAATCAAGCGCCATGGTGATCGTGCACCGCCTTGCCTCTGGCTGAGGCCCTGTCAAGATCGCAATGTGCCTTGCCAAGGTGCCGCTTGACGACAACGATACTTAAGGCACTGGTCGCCGTGCCTTTCGTTCTCCATTTCCTTTTTTTTTCTTTGTTTTCAAACCCCCATCCCATCCCACCACCGCCACCATGGAGGACACGCGCGTCTACGACCTGTGCATCGTCACCGACGCCACGGCGTCCATGGGCATCTACCTGCACGCCCTCAACGACTCGCTGCCCGAGATCATCCGCATCTCCGCCCTCACAGGCTGCTTCTCCCGCATCGGCATCGTCGCCTACCGCGACTACTGCGGCGGCGCCCTCACCGAGTGTTCCGGCTGGCACGGCCTCGACGCCCGCGCCGACTTGGACCACGTCCCGTCCAACGCCAAGGCCACCCGCACGCAGCTGCTCGACTTTGCGCGGAACCTGCAAGCCAGCCACGGCGGCGACTGGCCCGAGGCCGCCAAGACGGGCCTGGCCCGCATGTACGCCAACATGCGCGACCACGTCGGCACCGTCGTCGTCGTCTTCGCCGATGCCCCGCCGCACACGCCCGCCACCGGCGGCGTCAACCGCATACGCGAGACGGACACGCTCACCAGCAAGACCCCCGCCACCGCGTCGCTGTACGGGCCCCAGGCTGCGGCGTTTGCCGACTGGGTCACGCTCGCCCGCACGCTGTGCACCGGCCGCAAGCAGGCGCGCGTCTTCAGCATCGTCCAGAGCGACCACGTCGACACCCTCGCCCCCTTCACCTACCTCTCGGCCCGGACCGGCGGCGCGTGCTTCGAGATTCCCAGCCGCTGCGGTGCGGCCGCCATCGCGCAGGTCACCATGGGCGTCCTGTTGACCTGGATGGGCGTCGAGAAGAAGGAGACGGGCGGCGCCAAGGACGGCAGTGCGGCGCACCTGGCCAAGTACTGCCGCTACCGCGACACCGTGCACCTCGACAAGCTGTCCGGCGAGCGGGACCCCGAAGCCAAGAAGTACTGGGTGTACGAGGACACCCCCGATGTCAGCAAGTGGTCCCGCGACAACTTGGAAAAGATCGGCGTCGGCCTCGCCGACCTCAAGCAGCATGTCGCCGCCCGCAAGCCCGCCTTGGCCGACTTCAGCCAGCGCTACCGCGCCGACGAGGCCTACCGCGGCCTCGTCGTCACCAACCTGCAGGATATCATCAAGACCGACGTTGCCGCCATCACCGTCAACCCCGTCTTTGGCAGCCTCTGGCGCACCGTCTGCGGCGACCGCCTCAACCCGGCCCGCGACGACCTGCTGGCCCAGTTCGGCCGCCAGGTCGACGCCACCACCGACGCCGACAAGAAGGCCCGCCTCAAGCAGTGGCTCGAGGAGTCGTACGACTACGAGGCCGAGATCCTCGAGCTCGTCGCCAGCGTGCCGGCCGCCGACCAGTTCCCCTGTGTGCTGCTCGACCCGACCGTGGACTTTGCCAAGCTGACGACGGCGGGTGGTGACGCCAACGGCGACGAAGACGAAGCGGACAACGACAACGACGCCCCGGTCAGCCTCACCCGCGGCGACCTGCTCGAAATTGGCCGCTCCTGCGACGCCCGGATCCTGCGCCGCCTCGGACGCGTCCTGGCTCGCCTGACCTATGTCGCCACCGAAGACGACCTGCCGGGCCACATTGCCGCCATGACCGCCCGCCCCGGCGACCCCGGCTATGTCCCCCGCATCCCGCTCGCCCTCGCCCGCCCCAAGCACCAGCGCAAGTTCTGGAAGGTCTTGCTGCACACCATTGTGCCGGGCACCCTGCTGGGCCCGCGCCCGGCCGCCCTGCTGGCCGCCCTGTCCCTGCGCATGGGCCTGGCGCCGCTGCGCGACGTCGCCGACCGCGAGCTGCTGGCCTTTGCGCCCCACTGGAACACGCTCGATGTCCCGGAGACCTGGAACACCAACTGCCTCAACCTGCTGTTGTCCGCCGACCAGGACTATGTCGCCCGGCGGGCCGCAGGCACCACTGCGCCTACGGACGGCGCCACCGGCCTCCTCCGCAGCGCCGACCGCGCCCTCTTCCAGGCCCTCGTCGACTACAAGCTGGCCGAAATCAACCTGGACACCACCCTCACGGCCCGCATCGGCTGGCAGCCCGACAAGACCAAGGTCCCCATGGGCCCCACCGTCGTCTGCCGCGTCTGCCACTTCCCCCGCTCCGTCACCATCATGGCCGCCCAGGGCATCTGCGGCCTGTGCGACAAGACCGCCTGCACCTGTGCCACTCCTGCCATCCACGACGCGTGCGTCGCCGCCCACGTCTCCGCCGCCGACACCGCCGCCACCCCGCTATGGTGGGTCGAGTGCAGCGTGCGCGCCTGCCGCAGCCAGTACGTCATCTACAACCCGGACAGCCTGGCCGTGCGGCCCAAGTGCCACTACTGCCGCGCCGCCGGCACCCAGGCCAACGACGCCGCGGCCGTGACCCAGGCGCCCTTTGTCGAGTGCCGCACCTGCCTGAGCCGCGTCATCTGGCCCGCCGCCTACCGCCCGCCCGGCTTCAGCGCCAAGGCGTTTGAGTGCCCCGCCTGCGCCACCGGCGCCGTCGCGACCGTCGTCGACGTCGCCACCTCAGCCCGCCAGCTCGTCGACGAGAACGGCCGGGAGTGGCTGCTGCGCAACACCGGCGGTAAGATTCTCGAGCCGTTTAGCGGCCGCAGCCTCTTTTACACCATCTCGACCGCCGGTGTCCAGGGCTTCGCCGCCGCCGTCGAGGTGCTCCCGCCGCCACCGCCCCAATACTCCAAAGGCCACGGCACCCTGGCGCTGGCCCTCCACGGCAAGGCCGTCCGCAACGTCGACGACGTCGTCGCCGAGCTGCGCCGCTGGATCACCGCCCGCCGCGCCGAGGCCGACGCCTGCAGCCTCTGCTTTGCGGCCGCCAGCAAGCGCAGCCTGCGCGCCGCCTGCGGGCGCCGCGGCTGCGGCCAGCGCATCTGCGCCGGCTGCCACAGCGACTGGTACGGCCTCAACGCCCGCGGCCGCCTGCTCAACGTTGCCGCCCTGCACTGCCCCTTTTGTCGCCGCCGGCCCGCGCCCGCCGTCGTCGCGCGCTTCGGCCTCAACACCCTCGGCAACCTGCGCACCGCCGTCGCCCGCGCCGGCACCTGGATCTACGCCTGGTGCAACGACTGCGGCCTGGCCCAGCCGTTTGCCGAGCGCGTCTGCGCGCAAGGCGCGCCGCCCGACGTCGTCGACTGGCAGTGTGCCGACTGCGAGGCCAAGGCGGCCGAGGCGACACGGCGCAAGGACGCCGCGCCCGCCCACCGCTTCAAGCCGTGCCCGGGGTGCGGCACCGTCACCGAAAAGCGCGGCGGCTGCGACCACATCTCGTGCCCCGTGCCGGGCTGCCACACCCACTGGTGCTTCTACTGTGGCGCGCAGGTGGACCCCCACCTCATCTACAAGCACATGGAGAAACAGCACGGCGGCTGGTACGGCGGCGCTCAGTTGGCGAATGACGATCCGGACGACTATGACGAGTTGGAGCCAGACGGGTTTGGCGAGTGTGACTGTGTGTTGGGCTGAATCGTGTGCCGGCTGTTGTCCTGTTGTGTTGATTTCCTCTTGGCGTACCGTATGCGTTTGTTTTTAGATATCAAGGTACAACGTACCGCATGCGACGAGTTTGACCTGTTTGAATGGGCACAGAAGAGTATTATAATTTGACATTTTTTCTGCCAAACTGGTGCCTTTCAAAATCCTGACACGAAAAAGGGCATTCCCGGTAGCTCCTTCCATTGATTGCAATGTGTCTCGGCAACATGGCAAGAGCGAACAGCACGGCTTACAGTAACGCAAGAATTGTGAACACGGAAAGAACGCGGCACCGTCGCACTTTCCTCGGATTGCGCAGAACTGGAATTACAGTCCAGAGTTAGAAACCTCTGCAGACACGCGGGCTACAACAAGTGATAGAAAACTGTAAACGTAACGAGGGTTCGTATCAAAGAGAGACAAGCTAGAAGATCAAGAGATACTATCAACCGACGGCTCTCAGGCACAAGACAATCACAGGCCAAGGCCCGGAACTTCCTCGCTCGACTTGGATTTATTTTCCCTCCTTCGGAGAGTGTATAATAAACGCAAAAATAACGCAAAAGTAACGCAAACATAACTGACGGCAAGTGTGCAGACGCCAGCAAAGGGCCATCTACATAATCACCTCGTTGGCCACGTCCCGCTTCAGCTCCTTGAACGGCAGGCACACGCAGTTCTGCACGCGCACCTCATCGCCCACGCCGCACTCCTTGCCCAGGATCGTCACCGTCTGCACCTTGATGCCATTCTTCACAATCGTCGTGCTGTGGTTCGTGACCGGCGTCGGCGAGCCCTCCACGCGCGCCCACGCGCCCACGCGGCTGTTCCAGCCAATGATGGAATACAGCACGCACGCGTCGTGCTTGATCTCCGAGTCCTCGAGCACAATCGACTCCTTGATGCGCGCGCCGGCGCCCACCGTCACCCGCGGGCCGATGGACACATTGGGGCCCAGCTTGGCCGTCGGGTCCACGTGCGCCGACGGGTGGATGAAGACGGGCTGGATGATGTTGGGGCCCGGCGCCGCCAGCTCCTTGGACGCCGTCTGCCACGCCTGCTGCAGGTACAGCGCGTTGGCCGGCACCGCCGACCCGGCCGTCTTGATCTGCCGCCAGAAATCGCGCGTCTCGTACACAAAGAACTCTTTGCTGTCCGCCATGTCCGACAGAATGTCCTGCTCCAGGCGGATCACCTCGTTGTTCTGCTCGTCGTTGTCGTTGTCGTACTCGATGAAGCTGCTCGCCAGGTTGTCCGACGACGGGTACGACACGAGGCGCGACGGCCGGTCCGTGCGGCGCTTAATCGCAGTGCGGATCGACGGGAAGATGGCCTCCGTGCTGAACAGGTACACGCCGCAGTTGATCAGATTCGAGATGTGGCTCTCGGGCTTCTCCACGTAGTGCAGCACCCGCCGCGTGTGGCTGTCCGACACGATGCAGCCAAAGTTGCTGGCCGCCTCCTCGGACACGCGCGTGCCCAGGATCACGGCCTCGGCGTCCTTCTCCGTGAACATCTTGAGCATCTCGCCGAGCGGGAACGAGCAGCACACGTCCGAGTTGAGCACAAACAGGCGCTCCGGGCGGCCCTTGAGGATGGCATCGCGGAAGTGGTACAGGCCGCCGGCCGTGCCCAGCGCCTGGTACTCGCGCAGGTACTTGATGGACAGCTTGGGGAACTCGTTCGACGCGTCCTTGATGAAGTCGCGGAACACCGACTCGTCGTAGTAGCCGATGAGGTACACCTCCTGGATGGACGGCACCTTGGCAATGGCCGTCACGCAGTGCCAGATGATGGGGTGGCCGGCGACATCGAAGAGGGGCTGCAAACGCAGGCCGGTTAGTCGACGATACGGCCCAACTCTACATCGAAAGGATCGAAAGGGCGTACCTTGGGAACATCCAGAGAAAGCGGCCGGAAACGGGTGCCGCGAGACGAACCACCGACCTAGACAACATTGTTAGCCACCACATGCCCATGCTGATATCGTTACACATCGGTCGGCCGTGCACCCGACGCCTCGCACCGCGCCAGCCTGCTCGGCTCGCCCTTGTCTTCAGACGCACCAGAATGACGGCCTTGGTCGTGGGGGTGGCCACGCCGTTTGACTTCTCACGCTGAGGGAGTTGGAGTGTCGCCATTGTTGCTGTGTGTTGCGGATTGGGAAGAACGAGTGTATACAAAGGGACTGTGGATTGCAGGAAAAAGGGGACACAAAACAATGGGAGGAGACAAGTTGCGGTATAGACAAACTCGTGTTCCCAACAAGGACAGGTTTGATGTTTGTCTGCCAATTACAGTGTCTTCGACTGCCCCCCTTTTTAGAGCTCCAAGCTGTAGCGGTGCCCACCGCCACCAGCCCACCTTGCATCGCTGGAGTGCACTGTGCAGTCGTCATTGAGCCAATCAGACGCTAGTCATCCACTCGTGCTAAGTGACCAGAGCCCAAAAGGGACTCTTTACGGACTATTCGTTTTGCCGGGTTCCGTCTAAGTACTTGCTCCAGCTCGATCCGTCCAGCGTCCTTCGCTCCCTGATTGGTCTTGCCTGAATAGGAGGACCCTCTTTTGTTCCCCTGAACTTGCCCAGCAACAGCGACACGCCTGGGCAAGTGCGAGCTCTCGCTGGTGGCTCCTTCCTTAGATGCCGTCTGTTAATAACACCCGCAAACCACACGCATGTCACTAACAGCTGCTACCACCGCTCTGAGTGCACACCGCGTCGATTGCTCCTTCCCTCGACAGACGGTTTGCACAACTGCTGGGACTTCCATATTCACGCGCAGGTTCACGGCAGCTTTTTTGCTTCAAATCACGAACAAAATTCACCGTGACATTCGCCGTGATATTCACTCATTCGCTGACCGCCGTTTGCTTGCGTTTGTGTTTTTAATCGTGTCTTTCGCCCGCTGCTTTTGGTCCAGTGTTTGCCTTTGTTTACTTTCAAGTACACACGTCCCAGCGTCCACATTTGGGGGCTTTAATGCAGCACGAATGAGTGCAAGCACTGTTTCGTCGCGGAGTCTGACAGAGACCGCTGCCATGCGGCTGGTCAAGCAAGAGCCGGGTGGTACGCCTGCTACCGGAGTACACACGGCCGCGAACCGGCTGGCAACATCATCACAAGAACAGAATGGTCGGTTTGCCCGATCAGGCGCCCGTACGTTCGTCTGTTTTCCCCCTTGCTTTGCTTCATTTGGTCTATTTGACCATGCTTCGGCATCACGAGCTAACAGCCCTCAGCTAGCATTGACACCCGATTCGGCCGTCAGACCATGACCGACAGCCACGCCGGCAGTGGCAGCGGCGGCGGCGGCAGCGGCGGGGACGACGATGATGCTCCGATCCTCATGGAGGTTCGAAAAATCAAGACGCAGCCCCCCGAGAGCATCCTGGACCGCCTTGACGCACCTCATGCGTTTCCTGCCCATGCCCACCAAGGCCCCAACGTTAGCTTCGTTTCGCATGGCTTCACGGCCATCGGGGACAAGGTCAAGGAGCTCAACGACACCTTGGGCGAGCTCCAGTCGCTCGGCATCCAGCATGTCACCAGTCTGCCCGAGCTTGTCCTCGTTGGCGACCAGTCTGCCGGCAAGTCCAGCCTCATGTCAGGCTTCTCCGATATTTACCTGCCGCGCAGCGAGGGCGCCTGCACCCGCTGCCCCGTCCACATCCGTCTGTCGGGTGCACAGGCTGGCGGGCCCTGGGCCTGCCGCATCTCTCTGCAGCAAGACTACGACTACCGTCCGCCGCAGGGCGTGACGCGTGCCAATCCGTTCGGCCCCTGGTTCGAGAAGCGCCGGGACATCAAGGACTTTGCCAATCTCAACGACCCGTCCAAGATCGAGGAGACGCTGCGGTGGGCCCAGATTGCCACTCTGAACCCCAACCGCGACCACAGCCTGTACAAGCCAGGCACGGGCGAGATGTGGCGGCGGTACCACCCGCTGTCCAGCGACGGCGGCGACGCCATCCGAAACGAAGCCGCCTTCAGCCCGAACACGGTCGCCTTGGACATCAGCGCGCCGGGACTTGCTGATCTCAGCTTCTACGACCTGCCGGGCGTGTTCACCAGTGCCAAGCAGGATGAAGATCAGTACCTCGTCCAGGTCGTCCGCAACCTGACGGCAAAATACATCTCCCACAAGCAAGCCATCATCCTCTGGGCGGTGCCGATGAATGTCGATTCGGAGACCTCCTCGACGTTTTCGATTATCCGCGAGAAAAAGGCTCAGGCCCGCACCATCGGCATTATGACCAAGGCCGACCTTCTGCCACCCAACCCCACGGCCACCGCCCAGTGGATGGCCATGCTCCGCGGCGAGCAGCACAAAGTTGGCCATGGGTACTTTATGACAGCGAGGCCCATCGTCACCGAAGATCTGCTTCCCAACGAGATGGTCCAGTCGTCCCACCGCGATCCATCCAGGCCCGCCGACGAGCTGGAGCGCCAGGGCGCGTTCGAGGAGGCCTTCTTCAACAAGCAGCTGCCGGGCATGGCCAACCAGGAGTGGCGCGAGTGCTTCCGCGAATTTGAGGACCGCTGTGGAGTCAATCGTCTTGTGGCTTTCATGTCCCAGCAGCTCGGTCATGAGTTTGCCAAGTGGTCAGTGGCTTTCCAACGTACAAATGCAAAATATCGAGGCAGACAGCCCAGCTAACATCCTCCGGATAGCCTTCCGGAGATCAAAGAAAAGGTGTCCATGAAACTACTTGACGTCAATTACGAGCTGGCTCAGCTGCCTGACGTTCCCGAGAATCCCGAGCTCGAGATCCGCCGCAGTCTCGTTGCGTTCACGTCTCAAGTGCGAGCCATCATCGACGGGCCGCAAGAAATGCTGCGGCTACTCAACGAGATATTTCGAGAATTCAAAAAGGCAATTGCGGATCTCAAGCCCAAGTATAAGGTTAAGGTGGAGTCCCTCACAAATGGCCTAGCCAGCGGCAGCAGACACGTCGTCGACAACAATGGTCGCATCGACCTGACATCTGCGGACAACGACGACGTGTCGAGCGTCTACGGTGGCTCTCCCGCGCCCGGACATGCGTCTGTTCCCCCTTCCGGCGCCCCAGCCAACTCCGTACCTCGTCGCCGGCAGCACAGCACATTCCTCGATGGTCAAACCGATCCCGTCGGCCCCAGCACCCCGTCCAAGCGTGCTCGTGGGCTCAACGATTCGGTCAAGCAAGAAGACCAGTCCGAAAGTGGCGACAATAGTCCTGCGTTGGGCGCAGGCTCGAAGCGTGTCCTCTTCTCACGAACTGGCCAGCCGCTTCAACGGTCAGCTCGATCTCTCCAGGCGGTGCGCGATATCATCGATGCTCAGATGCGGCCCGGTATGCCCAACATCGTCACCGGAGACATCTACAACTCACTGTCGATGGAGGCCATCCGGCCCTGGATCGACCCGTTGATGCAGTTGCTGGAACGCGTCTTTAACTTGCTCGACGCCAAACTGCATGAGCTCCTCTCAACCGCGCTCAGCAACCTGCGCAAGCGGCTCATCTACAGACAAGCCTCGTCCGCCCTCAAGAAGTTCCTGGTCGACCGCATGAGCGAGGTCCAGACGACGCTCCTACAACACTACCAGCTCGAGACGCGCAAGTACCACACGCTGGACCGAGAGACCATGGCGCGCAATGAGGAGGCCGAGCGCAACCTCCTCGCGCGGCACCGCCACTACTACCGCATGGTGGCCTACCTCGGCGAGCAGCGCGGCAAGGAGCGGCCCCTTCCCAAGGACTGGGACATCATGAGCGACGACGAGCGTGCGCGCGAGAAGACGATCATGAACCAAGAGCTCGCCAAGCTCGGCGCGGACGAATACACCCGCGAGCTGGGTGTCTGCGCCAACGTGCGCGGCTACTACCGCACCGCCGCCACGCGCTTTGTCGACACGTGCACGATGCACATCTCGTCCGGTCTGCTGCCGGACGTCACAGACCAGCTCTCCAAGTCGTACCTGGACAACCAGCTGGGCGTTTTTGATAGGACAACGCCGCAGACATTCCTGGACCTCATGGGCGAAGACGAGGCGACGGCCCAAAAGCGTGCCAGCCTCAAGGACGACCGCCGGCGGTTCCAGCTCACAATGGAGTCCATCCAGCGCCTCGAGAACTCGAGCCAGTACTCGCAAGAGCAGCCAACCCAGCCGCAGTCGCAAATGCCTGTGCCAGCCACAGTGGATGGCGATGTTTAGTTTCAGTGGCTGAATATGTTTCCATTCCCTCTTCCCTCTTTCCATGACGAATAATGAATCATTTGCTGTCCCGGATCTGTTTGTTTCGTTTGTCTTTGCATCTCCCATTGCCAGTATCCCTTTTTCCCTTTTGCATTTTAATTCCGCACCTTGTACAACATTGAATAGCAGTTGTATTTTTAGATTTGAAAGGGCGGCAGTGATCGAAGCCACATTCCATCCCGACGGACGGAAGAGAGCACGAGGACAGAAAGTACGAAAATACGGGTGCATGTTGCAAGATACGGAGATGTGTTGAAAGATTTGACTTTGAATTGTATGGAAAGATAATGTATTGTGGCAAAGCAATGGCGGGAATATTTAATAACTAGGCTAGTAATGAAATGACAGAAACCAAAAGCAACTGTAAGGTAATGACCATAACCGTCTAGTTCTAAGAGATGGGAAACCTGCCAAAGTCTGCGATAAACATCGAAGCTTAGTGAACCTTGAAGACAAAGCTATAAAGGCATGGCAACACTGAAACACAAGCACAGAAATTGCAACACTAACAAAATCGAGTAGTTAATTTCACCCCTACAAGAAGAGACACCTTCGACAAAAGACGACTCGCAAAACTCATCTCATCCGTTCAAATGGGTATGATTGCAAACATGTTGAGATTGTCACTTTTCGTTTTGCTTCCAACAGGCAGCCAACAATAGTCCAAAGACAAAATACACAAGACAGGTCAAAAGGCGGATTATATTAACAAAGGAAACCGAAAGGACAAGGTTCCCATTTCCCAATGTCTCCCACCAACGTCCTATACAAACTGGTTTCGCCCTGCGAATTCAAGAGAGAGTAAAGAGTTACAAAAAAATGCAACTATGAAACGAAAACTATGGCAGGTGGTGACAGGAAGAAAACGAGAGAAAATAAAACAAAAGAAAAAGAAAAAAAAAACCCGAAAAGTCTGCTGTGACGGACAATGACATAATAAAACGTGGTAGATGCAATACACCACAAACGTAAAGGACTGATATGATAAATGCAGCGAGAGCCAAAAACATAAATAAACAAGGAAACAATAATGCACATGATGCACCTGAACAAAAAGTGTTCCCCGACGCTAACCAAAATGATGCCGTATATACCAGGAGTGGGAAATAGGAGCGTGATACATATGTAGTCGTGTATGTGTAGAGTTGAGAAAGGAGGAAGAAGAAGGGTGTGTGTGGGTGTGCGTAGGTGTGGCGTTGAGATCGAAGACGAGGAGCCATGATTAAAGCTCCTCTTCGATCGGCGACTGGGGCTCGGGGGCATTGAGCAGAGTCCGGACGCCGAGCGGGTGTGCGAGAGCATTGTCGCGAACGGCGCCAAAGTCGAGAATCTAAGATGGAATGTCAGCAAGTGCGTGCTATACGGGGGACTACGGATGGTAGGGGGTGCGGCCAAACTCACTTCAATATAGGTAAGACTGTCTCGCTGGACAGCCGCGACACAGCGCCGGGCGTCAAACTTGACCTGCCAGACACCGGAGAGGTCGCTCAGCAGATCCTGGATGCACTCGCCGGTCTGGATATCCCACATCTTGACCGTCTTCTCGCTGCCGGAGATCACCTTGCGGCCGTCATGCTGGAAACAGGTGATAGCGCCGGTATGGGCTGTCAAGGTGCTCTTGCAGGTGCCCGACTCTGGGTCCCAGACACGGAGTGTGCTGTCGGCGGCCGCCGACACGAGCTTCTCGTCGCGGAGATCAAGCAGGCCGACCAGCAGGGCGTGGCCTTCGAGCGTGTGGAGGCAGGCCCCGGTGTCCAAGTCCCATATCTTCACCAGCGAGTCCATCGAGCCGGAAATGCAGCGGTTGCGCTTCACGTCGAGAACGACACTGTACACCCGCTGCGTGTGGCCCTGCAACACGTGGAGCGACTCGCCTGTGCTGATGCGCCACACACGCACGGTGCTGTCGTAGCTGCCGGAGACAAGAATGTCCCCGTGCGCCGCAATCGACCGAACGGAGCTGGAGTGCCCTGACAGAATGCGAATAAAGTAGGGGCACTCGGAATCGTTGGCAGGCGGGCCGGTCTGGATGTAGCGCCGCGAGCCCGGCTCCGGCAGCCGCCACACACGCAGCTGGTTGTCGCGCGAGCCGGTGATGATGAGCGGCTTCGGTGGCATCATGACGGGCTTGCCGTCTTCGAACTTGCCGGTGGGCTTGGGCATGAGAATCTGCAAGCAGCGCACCGTCGAGGTATGTCCGTAGAACACTTGGGTGCAGAGTCCCTTTTCAATGTCCCACACGCGCACGGACCGATCGGTACTCCCCGAGACGAGGATGTTTCCCTCGTACTGCAGGGCCCAAACACCGCCCTCGTGGCCTTCCAGCTTCTTCAGCAGCTTGCCCGTTTTGGTGTCGTAGATGTGGATCAAGGTGTCGTCGCTGCCCGTGATGATCTTGTCGTCGTCAAACTGCAGGCAGGTGATGACGTGCCGTGGGTGGGCGGTAAAGGCCAGATGCTGCGGCTTCACCTTGCCGCTCGTCCAGTTTTGGCGAATCATGTAGTGGCGGCGGTAGAGAGACTTGAACAGGTGGAGGTTCCGCAAGCTCGGCAGGCCAATCTTGGGGTTCGGAATGGCCGCGGCAGCCGCACTGGCGGCCGACAGAGGGCCTTCGGATTTGTGCACCTGGGGCCACTGCGACGGCTTCTCTTCCTTGGGCGCTACCTCCTGAGCACTCGCCCGCCGTTTGGACCGCTCCGTGCCAGGGTACGCCGTAATGCCACGTTTCCGCTTCGACGTGCGCACCCGCGGCGCAGACGCCTCTGGCTTGGACGAGCGAATCAGGTCGGTCTCGTCGGCCTCCATGCGCATGCGCAGACTCAGATCGACCTCGCAGCCATGCGCACCGACGGGGTCCTGCCAGCCCCAGCCCTGTGTAATGGCCCGTTGCAGCTCGCCCGACGGCAGCTCGAAGCCAGCTTTATCAAACAACTCTTTCCAGCCCGTTTCGTTGCTGTCCACAATGATGCGCCATTGCTTGGAGACCTGTGCAGCACGGCACAGGTCCTTGAAGTCGAGGTAGGAGAGGATGTGAAGGCTGAGCTCGAGCGGGAGCCGTTTGAAGAAGTCGCACTTGAGGGCCGGGTTGACGACATCGGCAACGGTCTGAAGCGTCTTCCGCGAGCACCTGCGCAGGAATTGGTACATCATAAAGGTCTTCATCTCACCGGGCATGGTATCAAACCGCTCCAACATAGACTGCACGGCCATGAAGTTCATCCGTGACACAGTACCATCCGACAACGAGTTGGCGCCGTCGGGCTGGGAGAAAGATGGGTATCCGGGATATGGCGACGAGTCAGCAACTTCGGTGGATTGTGATCGTGTTGTCACCCAGAGAGGCTGTCGAAGAATGCGTTCGTCTAGTTCGTCGTGGTCGTCGTCGGGAAGCTGCGACGTCGGGTGCACAGCCGACAACGTGGGAGACAAGCGTGGGCTGGGAAGACTGGCATCCAGCATGCCCACATTGCCGAGAACCCGCGGCGGCAGCGTCCGCACGGTCTGCTGCAAAGACTCGTCGGCATCGGGAAAGCTGTCGGCGTCGGCATCGGCAATTGGTGGCGTGGCCACGGTGTTGCTGAATACGGTGTGTGCGTCGCTCCCGGTGGGACTAGCAGCCTCATATGGTGCCGGGGTTGTGCTGGGGCCCGATTCTGTCTTGTTGTCGCTGGCCGCACGTTCGAGACGCAGCGACCGGAATCGAGACGAGCTTCGGTTACCGGTGCTGGCACCGTCGGGTGTGGCGAGATATGAGGACGGGCCGTTTGCAAGGTCGCCGTCACGGTCGTCTTTCAACAAGCCAAGGCCCAGCCGTCTTGGCCGGTCGGCTGCGGATGTGGAGGCGGACGCCGTTGTGGATGTGGATGTGTTTGCCGACGCCCCTATGTTCGAGGAGCGGAGAACCTTCCGGCTAATAGTGGAGACGGGAGAACCAGCCACGGAGCTGGAACGAGTCGACCGGCGCAATGAGCTGTCGGCAGGCTGCTTCGACGACGACGATGCCGCCGCCGCCGCCGCCGGCTGGGAGGGTGAATCATGGCGTGGCTGGCTCTCGACGCCGGGCTCGAGCTTTATCTGGCTGTCGTCGAGGATGCGTGCACGCGGTGGGTGGCGGTGAAAGGGGTTGGCCCGCAACAGGTGGTCGTCCTGGCTGTGTTCAAAGGAGGAGTGGAATTTCTGCGAGTCGTCAAACGACGACCAGGAGTCGCTGTCGATGCCGTCGTCGACATCGAAGCTGAACTTGGACAGCTCTGGCGGGGTCGGTTTGGAGGCAAGCGGGTACTCTTTGGCATCGAGCGACTGGAGTGCCCTTGATTCACGGACGTACAACGGCGGATATGACCGTTTGGTTGTGGTTGTTGTCGTCACGGTCTTCGTCTCGACGCACTCGGCAATCTCAAACTGCAGCCGCGCGCCGTGTGCGGCATCGGTCTCGGCGGCATCGTTCCAGTTGACGGAAACCATTTGACTGGAACGAGGCCGGCTGACCTCGGTCGTCTTTTGGGGAGCCTGCGAGTCGGGCATTGTGGGATTGTCGTGGTCTCCCCGCAGGTGACTGAGACCACGCGACTTGTAAATGGTCGTCAAAGTAGACGAGGGCGTAGCAGAGGGAAGGACTGTTGTCGTGGACGTGGATGCACGTCGACTCAGGAGACAAAGGTTCAAAAAGAGGGGAGGGGGCGGTGTCGTAGATGACTAGAGTGCGTTAGTAACGGTGCGGATCGGGATGTGTTCGGCAAAGGCGAGGGATGTCGACGGAGGGAAAGACGAGCGATGCAGTGTCTTTATGATACGAATCCAGCCGGGCAACGCAGCGGAGGAGACTCACGAGGCGGTGGTCAAGAGGGTGGAGAAGGCTGTCCGGATCGATAACGATTTACGCGGATTCCAGGGCCAACGCGTGCATGCTCAGCATTGTATACGGGCAGCCAAAGTCGATGTGAAGTGTCCGTTCACCGGGTGTCGTGTGGAAAAAAGAGGCCGTGGAAGTCGACAGGCAGCCAGGTAGACAGATCCGAGGGTTGGGAACAGAAAAGCCGAGGCCCAAAACAGAGACGAGGTGGACACGAGGGGAGAGTGAGGCACGGAAAAGGGATGCGTGACAGGGCCTGCGAAGGGGGGCGGCTGGAAACACCCTCAGATGTGCAGTCGTGTTCGCGTTGGTCGTCGGTTTGTGTACAGAGGGTGTGTCTGTTTGGGATCCTCCTGTTGGTGATTTGTTGTTGGCTGGTGAGAGGAGAGAAACAAAAAGGCGAAGAAGAGGAAGGCGATCAAGAACAGAAAGAGGGTCGCCGACGATGAGGCCGAAAAAAGGCTGGGCCACCAGAGAAAGGCGGGTTCTGCCTCCTCCTCCGCTCCTTCCTCTTACTACGCCCTAGCCCAGCCTGGCCTAACGGAGGGAAGGGCGAGTGGTGGACCACCCAGCGGCCGGCGATAAAAAATTCCTGTCGACTGGCCTGGCGCCGCCCCCCTCTTTCGGTCGCTCCTTCCCCTTACTCAGTAAAAACAGCCAACGAAACAAGTGGATTTCACGCCTAAATATTTCGCTCACGTGCCACGGCGCTCACAAATTTCTACGGAGCACGCTTTTGTGCCTGCGAATGCCCTGGCCTGGCCTGGCCCATAATCTTACACTAGTTACCGCCTACTCCGTCTACTAAAAGACTGCCGTGTCAGGCCTCCTGTCTTACGGCAGGCACCGCGTTGGGACACATCTTACAAAAGCCATAGGCGTAGAGTGCACTGGCGGGCGTGGCGGAAGGGGGGAGGCGCTCTGTCATCCGCCCTTTCCCTCCCGTTTCTGTTGTGTAATGTGACGAAATTTGGAAAGGACGCTCGGATGACTACCGCTCGCGCCTGCCTTCGTAATCCGTACATACTGACGAGTCCAAAACGTCAAATCACAAATGCCACGAGAAGCGAGACACTTGTAATCCACGAGACACTCTTCCCGGCGGAGCGTGGTGAAGGTGTGCAGGCACAAGGCCAGTGACAAAAGGGTGGGGAACGGGACATGAGGCAGCCTCTATTTCAGCACACATGCACAGGCGTCTTCGGCGACTAATGCAGGCTGAGAGGAACTGCAGAAGTGATTGAGAAAATCCAGCACGGCGGAATCAAGAAGCCTGTAATACATATACAGCCAATCCTCGCCACCGCATCCAGGGGCGACAAAACTGTTTACTTTTCGTTGTCGTCATTCGCGTTTGACCTTTTGCTTACTGCTTGGCATTTCGAACCTCCCTCGCGTTCCGCGCGCCACTGTTCTTGTAGCTGCCCGGTGCCTCGGTAGGCTGCTTCTTGCACATTATTTACCGGATGTGCATGCCACCAGTCTGTCACAAAAGGGGACAGAGTGTCCGCCAACGATGAACGGACAGCATCTCTCCGCTCGCGCCCCTGCCCTGTGGTCTTTGTTCTGCCTCAGCGCGCGTCGCTATTAGCCCACTATTTTGCCTCTTTCATGGCTCCCTTTGTAAAAGTGGAAAACCATCAGAACTCGAGCCCGGCCTTGGTTCCCTGGTTCCGTCGTTCTCTTGTCCGTTGTTATTTGGCTAGGCCTGTTATTTAACCCTGTTCGCGCACCCACGGCCTATCAACAACAAGAAAGGCATCTCGTTCCGCCTTCCCCCCCAACTGGCTGGGCTCTTGTTACGCGCCGAAGATCGCGTCATGCACAGACCCAACAGACCGTCCCACTGCGCCTAGTGTGATTGCGGGTGTGATTTCGGGAAGAAAAGCGAACTGCACTGTGCTAGCACGACGCACTCATCACTGACAGAGGCGCGTTTGTCTTGTTATCACACAATTGTTCCCAGGGAGCCACAACCACCGATGGCAAGACGAAATAAAAGGATCAAAGCAGCAAGCAAATGGAGTACGGCGGAAAATATTGTAATTCACAGCTGTTAATTGCTTCAAAGCTGGTGTTCTATCCAAGACAGCAACAGAGCCATTTCTCTTTTGGTCGAACCTTGAAAATAATTAATTTGCCTGTTGGTGGCCGGGAAGTAATATGAACCGGCCATTAAAACTAGGAGTGTATGGTTCCTCTTGTAGAGCGTATATGGCAAATAAGTGCTTCTGTTATTTGTGCCGGTTAAGGACTGTTTGGTTCTATTTTTGCTATTTCTGTTCGTTGGTTGTTGTAGTTCGTTCTTGTGAATATCTGAAATCTGTGTAATACCCAATATTTATCGTCTAGATAAATCTTTCTAGTTGTTTTTAGAAAAAAGGAAGACCAAGGTTTTTTCTCGCTTTGGTGCGTTTTTTTTTTAAGAAAAAAAGAAAAGAAAAGAAAAGAAGAAAAGAAAAAAATCGTATATGTTGACATAAATAAACACAACATATAAAAACAACAACGAAAGACAAGTGTTCACTTGATATTGCACAAATCAATATATTCAGTTTCCATCAACTATCCCAGAAAACCCTTATCGTCACTCTTACGATCAGCCTTGCGTTCTATGTGTTGTGTTTTGTCCCCTGAATGGTCCTCCTACGTCGTAATTACTCGAGTTTTGAACACATGAACGCGAGTTGGTTCTATTTCTGGCGTCGTTGCCTGTTCTACAGCGACTTTCCAGCGCTACAGCGAATCGGGAGCGTGGGTCTTTGTCGAGATCAAGTACCACGCAGCGCGAAACTCGGTGAAGCAGGTACAAAGCCCCCCAAACGTTTGGGTCGGAAGTGGGTTTTATCCGCGGCCAAACGGCCCCACCCGCCACACCTGCCCACTTGGGCCTCTGGCTTGGTGGCTTGGGTGGCTTGGAAGGTTGCTTCAGTGTTTGTTGGCAAAGCTCCCTGGCGCCTTCCCGTTTGTTGCACAGGTTCTCAGAAAGGAAATGAGCACGCAAAATATCTCTCCGAAGTGTTTCCAACCGACGTCGTCTGTTCCCCAAACCCCCCTCCTCTTGCTTGCAGCTTTCCACCACGACCTCGATGACCATCGCGACGTAGCGACACGGACACGGAGCACATATTGCGCTGCAATCATTCGACGAGGCAGGCTGCTCTCGACTTTGCTGCCTTCCATGCTTGCCTCTGTTGTGCTCTGAACCCGTCTGGGGCATTTTTTTCTTTTTGTTTTGCTTCCCCCCCGTTACCTTTGCCACTCCCAATACTCTTACCACTCGGCCAGCGGCTACACATTGCGACCGACGATAGACGACGGCGGACGGCGAAAACGACGACAGACAGCGACGATGGGCAACTGCAGCTCGTGCCTTGGAGCACGGCGTAGGAGCGTCTACGAAGAGGTGAGCTGGGGACGGGATTGGTCAAGCAAGGCGTCGTCGCCAGTGGTGCGCAGAACGGACGGAGACTGACAAATGGCTGCCGCTGGCTGCCGCTGCAGGACGATGAATCAAGGCTGCTGTTCGACGATGCCGACGGCGCACACTACGGCAGCTTCGGCGAGCCGACGATGAACGACCAGGACGATGCGCAAGAGTCGCAGCGCGAGTTTGAGGCGCTCCAGAGCGTCGTGGCCCGCACGTCCGACAACATGGTCGATGTATTTGAGATTGCCCCGCCACGGCCGAACCCGAACGGCATTGCGGCGCCGTATGCTGCACTCGGCATCCCCGACAACCGTTTTGCGCAGTACCAGAACCTGCTCGCGAAGCTCTCGGTGACCGACGAGGACGACCCGGACGCCTGCATTGAAGAATTCGACAGTGAGACGACACAAATCCCACAGGCGTACGTTGACGCGCTGCCGACACAAGTGGACGCGGCCGGGCCGTTTGTGAGTAACTTTACCGACGCTGCTCCATAAAACGGAAGGATGAGCAATGTTCCGTGACACGGCTCATTTTGGTCTTCTTCGTCTCTCGTCTACGTTGACTTCACATACCGCCGACCTGTTACGAATGCGTTTCTCGCAACCTTTCTTTTCTTGTCCATCTGCACACGATTGCACGCATCCACGCAACACAGCACAGCATTTGATATTATTGTTTCCTTTACCGTACGCCTCAGGCAGCAGACGGATGAGTCTGGGCTTTTCGTCCTATCCATCTCGGCCTTCCCGACGGCGGGAGACCGCACTGTATTATATCGACACTGTTCGGCCCTTTTCTTTCCAGTATTTCCTTTGTTCACTTGATACCCGTCTTAGTGTTACAATATACAATTTCAACCGCACAAGCACACGCCACAACTGCAACTGCAACCACAATCGAAGCCAAGCTTATAAGCCAAGCATTTGGGACGGAGGCTGAGGCTGAGGCCACCATCGGGACCATGACTGACCGACTGTGCTGTGCTCCTTCCGTCCCCGCCTCTCCCCACGCCGTGATATGTTCTAATTCCCGCCGATATGATGCAGCCTGGACAGTTAGCCGCGAGCCGTCCTGGCTGCCTTGGCATCGGGACTACCGCAGATCTGTCGTTCAAAGGTCATTCTATGAAGGTTATTTGACGAACGAACTAGGCAGACTCCTGGGCCATTGGTTTGTTTTTTTATTATTTATCGTTTTGCCCGTTTCACCAATTTGCCATGTACGACAAAGTGTGTCAAC